ACATGGTGGTGGCATAGCAATCTGGGTACGCAGCCCATTGGCGTACCATCATCTAGATCAGTATGACTCATCTGTTCACGAAGTAACTTGGCTCACAGTGCAGTCTGCCCATCATGGTAAGATAGTGCTGGGTGCTGTATACAGGCCAGGATCCGCCTCAGAGACTGATATCTCAACACTTGAGCACCTCGATGGCATCCTGGATAGCGTCAGAAAACACGGCACCCACACCATGCTGGTCGGAGACTTCAATGTCCACAACACGGCTTGGCTCGGCAGCTCTAAGACCACCCGTGCAGGGGAGTACATGGAGGAACTAAGCGCTGCCCACAGCCTCATGCAGCATGTCCAAGAACCAACCCGAGGTCTCAACACCCTGGACTTAGTGCTCTCTGACTTCACTGGTACTGTGACCACCGGTATCTCGCCGCCGATAGGAAGGTCAGACCATTGTGTTGTCCACGCTGTGCTCGCTCAAGCCCCGCTTGAAAATGAGCCCAGCACACGGAGACGTGTGTGGCGATATGGCCAAGCCGACTGGAACAGACTGCGTGCCCACTACCGTCGCATTGCCTGGGCAGCTGAGTTTCCGGAGGACCCAGAGGAAGCATGCAGCCTTGTTACTAGGCACATCGTGTCTGGGATGCTGCAGTTTATTCCCCACAAGATGCTGGAAACAAGGCCGTCCGATCCGAGCTGGTGGACACCAGAATGCACTGAGGCTCAACGTGCCAAAGAGAAAGCGTGGAAGGCCTGGCGTCACCAGGGGCCCAGCGAATGCCTGAAGCAGTCGTTCATGACAACTGTCACTCAATCTATTACAACCCAACATCGTGCACAACAAGCTGAAGAGCAGACAGTCCGAGAGCGTCTCACACGTGGTTCCATGAGAGACAAGGACTGGTGGAGGAATGTCAAGCGCGCCGCCGGTCTGGGTAGGACTACAGACGTGCCAACACTCACTGATGCTGACGGGCACGAGCACAGTACATCGAAAGCCAAGAGCGAGTGCCTTGCTAGATTCTTTGCTGAAAAATGTAGCCTTGGGGATAATGACATCGACAATGCTGAGTTACCAGCAACACCCTGCACTACCACTCCGGGCCTGCAGCGCGTCCGCTTCCGCGTCTCTGAAGTCCAACAGTGCCTGAAGCGTCTCAACACATCCAAATCCACTGGTCCAGATGAGATCCCAGGACGAGTACTCAAGGAGTGTGCAGCTGAACTAGCACATCCTCTGGCTAGATTGTTTCGCCTGTGTTTTGCAAATGGAGTCCAGCCCCAATCATGGAAAATTGCCCGTGTCGTTCCAGTGCACAAGAAAGGACCCAAATCCATGATGAAGAACTACCGGCCTATATCTCTCCTGACGATCATCTCTAAGATCATGGAAGGTATCATCAATCGGCAGCTTGTGAACCACCTGGAAACCCATCAACTCTTCTCCTCGTCCCAGTTTGGCTTCCGACGTGGACTGGGCACAAGTGACCTACTGACGGCTCTCCAGCATTCCTGGGCCACTACCCTGGCTGGCGGCGGTCTTGTGCATGCCCTGGCAGTTGATATTGCCGGGGCATTCGACAAGGTTTCCCACCCAGGTGTCCTTGCGAAGGCACAGCAATGTGGCATCCACGGCCAACTCCTGGCTTGGCTAAGGTCGTATCTCCATGACCGAAAACTGACTGTAGTTGTTGGCGGTCAGTCCTCCCCACTGTTCCCGATCAAGGCTGGAGTGCCCCAGGGTAGCCTCCTAGGTCCCACTCTTTTCCTGTTATATGTAAACGATGCAGAACAGTGTTTAGCCCCAGGCTCCAGTCTAGCTGTCTACGCGGACGATACAACACTCTATGCCCTAATCAGAAACCCAGATACCATCGCTGCTGCTTGCAATAGCCTCCAAGCATCTATTGACCGCCTGCAGACTTGGGGTGCCCAATGGAAGATAAAGTTCGAGCCATCAAAATCTCAGGCAATACTCCTTGACCGCCACAGACCATCCCTGGATGTCCCACAGCTCACATTTGATGGCATGCAGGTGCCTGAGAGCCCTCAGCTCAAGCTGCTAGGAGTGTTATTTGACAGTACTCTCTCCTTCCGGGCCCACATCCGTTCCCTTGCCGTTAGAGCCAACCAGCGACTCGGCCTGCTCCGAAAGGCATCTCGGATCCTGGACAGTGCAGGGCGCCTAACTGTGTACAAAGGATTTGTACGGCCTATAATGGAGTACGCCCCTCTCGTCTGGGCAAGTGCGGCACATTGTCACCTCCATCAGCTGGACCTGGTCCAGCGTCGAGCCATGAAGGTTATTGGCCCCTCATTGCTCCCCAGCCTGGCAATCCGAAGGCATGTTTACGGGCTGTGCTACCTGTATAAGCTGCAATGCATACCAGGTCCAGCTCTGCTTACCAACATGGTACCTCCCCCAGCAAGAGTTAACGCTGCACCCCGGACGCGCCGGCAACGCCAGTCCCTCGGTGGCCACTCTTTCCAACTCGCAACTCCTCTGCCAGCCTCCAGTCCAGAGTTCATCCGCCGCTCCTTCCCATACTTTGTCCTGGAGAGCTGGAACACACTGCCTGCCCCAATCCTCGCCGAACGCCCAACTCTCAAGAAATTGCCGACATTCAAGACCAAGGCCTACCATCACCTCCGCCAGACCAATTGGCTATGGGCCACTGAAGTCCACCAGCACTGAGAATAACCGGTTGTCTCTATTATTATCATTTTCTGTCTCTCTCTCTCTCTCTCTCTCTCTCTCTCTCTCTCTCTCTCTCTCTCTCTCTCTCTCTCTCTCTCTCTCTCTCTCTCTCTCTCTCTCTCTCTCTCTCTCTCTCTCTCTCTCTCTCACTCTTCCTCTCCTGGGAAGCTCCTCATGCTCATTCTCCCTTTCTCTGTCCATTTCCCCTTCCTGATGCGTAGACCAACTGTTGAACCCGAGACCACTAGGTCGGGGGAGGTTGACCTACCTCATCGGCACGCATGCCACGCTCCTCTGTGTTGTCAAAGTTCGCTTGTCCACTTTTGTCTACCTCCCCTTTTATGTTGCTGGCCAGTGCTTTGTAGTAAAAAAAAAAAAAAAAAAAAAAAAAATAGACCCTTTGCACAATAACGGTCACGTGATCCGAGACGGGGCATCCTCTTCGATTTTTGTGCAGAGTATCAGTTGTTGAGCATGGTGGAACACTGTATTTTTCCATTTTGGAGATGGAGGAGAGAGTGTCGAGTGGTTTGCCATCGATGGCTGTGGAACCCGTGGACGAACTGTCAAATGAAGAATGGTCTGTGAAGGAACTGAACAGTTTTCTGCGGAACGAGGGTGCGTATCTGTCTGTAAAAAGAAGGAGTTGTTGGAGAGGTAAGTTTTCCGCATTCAGTGGATATTTCGGATTACTGTAGATTGAAATTTATTTTTCTTTTCTCTACCTTCTCTCCCCTGTCGATGTAGAGAACACTTCTCTATGCAGAACCCTGATGCTCCTAGAACTAAGAAGGGCACCACTTCCTCGAGTGTACCTTCATCATGCCCAACATTTCATGCGTCCCAGTGGATGAGTGATGAACCTCTGTTTCCCAGAGTGAGTGCCACAGCATGCTTGCTTGTCTCCAACGCAGGGGCAAGTGACCGACGACAGTGAAGAGGGAGCTGACGGAGTAGTACAAGTGAGCAGGCCCGTGGATAGTGTCCATGAGTTTTACTTTGGTGGCTATGTGCATAATGTGAAAGTCTGTCATATCGTGCACACAGCCACAGCTCGAACTCAGATGACTTTCTCCGCACACCTGAACGATGAGGCTGTGTCTCTCTCCACTTCAACATCAACAGCTCGAGCAGCGCCAGCAAGCAGTCGATCTTCCAATAGCGAAGACAGGGATGGGTCATGCCTTTTTCTCAAGCTCCAGAGTCTCTTGGCAGGGCGTTCCATATCTTCGCAAAAGCAAGGTCGGATGAAAGTCGTCATGGATAAAGTGTTCCGAGCACAACACTAGGAACGATATCGCAGCACTGCGGCCCTCTTCTCGCCAGATAGCCAGGATTCCAGAGTGTGGAAAGCCAGCATCACCAGGGAACGCATGGAAAGACAAGTGGGTTCCTTAGACTAACGTTAGGGATGACGGTTGCTGCAAACAAGAACCCAACAGTGGTCCTTGGAAAGCGTCTCGGAACTTCTTCCTTCACGGCTTCAGAACTAAAAAAACTTCAAATGAAAAAAGGCTGCGGAGTACATACATGAACATCGCGTCGGGACCGTGAAAACACAGCCTGTCACAGGAAACTTGATCACGTCCTGCAGCAAACCACGCATGCTGGTTGCATGCCAAGTGTGCAGCGCGTGCACAGCATGCCCCGTCTCGACCCCTCTCGCTTATTGTGCAAAGGGTCTATTGCCTCAATATTTTCTCACCTTTAGGGCAATGAAGTAAATTCTTTCCTCATGACTAACCTTGACAGACTAAGTTGCCCTGTCCCAGCGATCTACAATACTTATATTGCACATTTGTGAAATATTGGACGAATCCAGATAAACGAAATGACTTACATTCGAAATTAATTATATTTCCAAAGTTTTCCTTCACAAATAGTCCCAATTTGTTCTCACCTTTAGGGCAATGAAATAATTTTTTTCCTCATGACTAACTTTGACAGACTAAGTGGCCCTGTCCCAGTGATCTACAATACTCATATTGCACATTTGTGAAATATTGGACGAATCCAGATAAACGAAATGACTTACATTCGAAATTGCATTTTCCAAAGTTTTCCTTCACAAATAGTCCCAATTTGTTCTCACCTTTAGGACAATGAAGTCAATTTTTCTTCAGGACTAACATTGGCTAACAAAATGGCGCTGTCCCAGGGATCTACAATACTTATAATTATTACACATGTGAAATATTGGGAGTCAGAGTGAGGAAATGGCCTAAATTGAAGCTTGAACTGTTCTGCCATGTTTTATGCAGTAAACGCAGGGCTGAGAGCCCGCAAGAGCCATCCCGTAAGATCTTGTGCGCCACCAACCAAACCTTCGGTGAATGTTCACAAGGTTAGAAGCTCGCACAGATAACACACATTGGATGCTAATACAATGCACTCAGGAATGTGTGCAAATACAACAGAATTAATTCCGAATAAAGTCAACAATAGCTGCCTCAACACAGTGCTAACAACCTTCCGCGTTTTCCATATTCGAGTGGAACGAAAACGCAGTGGAGAGTCCTTAGAAAAAACTAAAAAAATATCATCATATCGCTGCACGAGATCATCCTTATAAGTTATAACGTCAGCTGATCGTACTGTGGTGGATTCATACGGCGGTAAATACACACCTGTCCACACACGCTCTCTAAACTGAAAAAGTTACTCTGGCACAGAGCTCTCCTTCCCACCACCACCATCATCAGTTCGCATCTGGCGCCTAGTCGATGCAGGGTGAGTGGTGTCCGATATAGCATGCTGGTACATCAGGTAGCGCATGGTTGATTAATACGGTGGTAAATACACACCTGGCAATATGGCGGTAAATACACGCCTGCCCAGACACGCTCTCTAAACTGCAAAGTTATTCTTGCACAGAGCTCTCCTTCTCATCACCACCACCACCACTACCACCACCATCAGTTCGCGCCTGGCGCCTAGTCGATGCATGGTTAGCGGTATCCGACATAGCAGGCTGGCACATCAGGTAACGCATGGCACATAGAAGATGGCAACGACATAGCTTGATTGCGACGTACATTTCGTTCTCTCGGTTGTGCTGTAGCCTTAAAAAGGAAATAAGACAATGCATGCACATGACACAGACAAGTAATTACTGTTACAAATACTGCATACTGCTTGATAGCAGAGAAAGAAAGTCAGTGGTCACACAAGTTTTTGGTCGTCCCTGAAACGAAGATCGTTCCAGGGGGGGGGGGGGGGGGGGGAGCTAAAATCTCTGTTGACTGACGCTATGCATACACATGTATATGCATGCGATTTTCGTCATCCATTCATTTCGGAGGGTGGAGAGGGGGTCCGAGTACGAAATGAATGATGTTTTTTTCAGGGATGACTAAACACTTTTGCGATGACCCCTTATTGCATCAATTTATCGTCTGAACTGCGCAATTGAGTCCCACTTTTATTATTTTGGGTCCAGATTTCAAGACTCGTGAAGTTCGAGGCGAAAAGCAGGCCGATGAAGGGATGCCAGTAATTCAGTCTAGTCCGGTGTCATGGAGAGGGACCGATGAACCGGCAACAAGAGAATTCAATACGCATGCTACTCTTCAGTTCATTGCTGGGGAAGACTACTCAAGGCCACGTCACTCCGGCAATTCAATGTACAAATCAGCAGCAACACTTGCAAACGTATTCCTACCAGCTGACCAGCAAGTTACCAGCCATCAGCTCTTCAAATAATTCCAACTTAAAGGGGAAGTTAAGGCAAAAATTAAAATTTCACCAGTTGTAGTCTTCGGGGTGCTGAGTCGAACGGTCGTGGTCCGAGGAAGCTGAGACGCTCCCTTCCTACTTGAATCCCAATCGAACTCGCGCACTTCCACCGAAACTGGGTGACTGCGCCCTACTAGATGGGGATTTGTATGCAAAATGTCACTAAAAGCGCCATTTCGTTCTTATAAAAGCACGGATGACCGCGATTGGCCCATATGTTGTAGTCTTTTGGACGCTGCGTCGACTGGTTTTGGTCCGAAAAGGCTGCGATGCAGCGTTCCTCCTTTATTCCCAATCGAACATGGTTGAACAAGCGGTCACGTGCTCCTGCGTACGCCAGTCACCTGGTCACCGTGCCTGCAGGGTACAACTTACTAGCCTGTTTGACCTTTTTTGGGTTCAGTCCTGTCACTCGAGTTGAACCTTGGTGTGAAAGTTGTCGCCTGCTGGCGTGGTGACCAGGTGATTTGGGCACCCAGGAGCACGTGACTGCTTGTTCAACCATGTTCGATTGGGAATAAAGGCAGAACGCTGCATCGCAGCCTTTTCGGACCAAAACCAGTCGAATCAGCGTCCAAAAGACTACAACATATTGGCCAATCGCGGTCATCCGTGCTTTTATAAGAACGAAATGGCGCTTTTAGTGACATTTTGCATACAAATCCCCATCTAGTAGGGCGCAGTCACCCAGTTTCGGTGGAAGTGCGCGAGTTCGATTGGGATTCAAGTAGGAAGGGAGCGTCTCAGCTTTCTCGGACCAAGACCATTCGACTCAGCACCCCGAAGACTACAACTGGTGAAATTTTAATTTTTGCCTTAACTTCCCCTTTAACAAAGAGAGGAGATGGACAGATCGGAAAGTATCGTGGCAAGCTCAGGACAACACACTTCCGGCCCTATGTAAAAACAGTGGAAAGTGCGTGCCATGGTATATTTTCGGAAGCATCTCAAGAACCAGCTAATGTGGACTGGGAGTCCATTTGCATCGTCCGATCAGCTGCTACAAGTGCCGTGAGCCAATGGCAAACACGTTTGACAGAGACTACTACCTCTATTGAATGCAACTTTGGCATGGCAGAGATCTACTAGCACGTTATCTTATCTATCAATAGAGTTGTATCCTCGTATGCCTATGTGAAGTGTGAGGTCGTACTGTACTGCAGACGCGTCCTCGACCCTGGTTGGAAATGTACGCAACAGTTCCCACCCGCTTGACCAGAGAGCGCACACACCCTAGGGTTTTGATGGGTTTGTACGACTCCCAGCTCTTGACTTTTGTTGGGTGTACGAGACGCACGCACAGTTTTCGTAGGGTGAGTACTTTTTCATGTAGTACTGAATGCGGCAAGCAGGACTCGCCCATCCGCCCCTCCCCAAATGGATCTACTCGAATGGTTGCGGAGGTAGGGGTGCTCTGGCGGGATTTTACGACATGCACAAGCGCGCACACAATATACACACGCACGCACACATATACACATGGACGCACGCTATGTCGCACGTCTAGGGCATGGCTTCGTGAATACAAGTAATAATTTAATGTTATAATTTATAGTATCCAAATGCTAGAGCAGCTTTACAAAACCTACCGTTCAATACTGGATCAATTCATCTTGTGACAGCTTCCTTGCAACACCCATGACTTGACCCCACTTCGTCTTGACGTCAGGAAATCGTTCACACCGGAGTTGGGACACGACTCATTGAAATCCAGGCTTATCTGCTGCTGGGAGCAGGACAGAGCTGATGGACGTCAGCAGCGGCTGTAGAACAACCATAAACGAGTCTTCTTTCTCCGCAGTCAGGCGGGACAGCAGCTTTGCAACGCAAGCTTCTTGCCTTCTGTGGGTCTTTAGCGGCTGGGATTCGGAACGCTCTGTAGAAACCATTGAACAAGTCCTGCACTCTATCAACCCACAAGTATTTCTTCCAATTCATGAATATTCGCAACTTTTTCTGCAGTACGTGCACCAGATCAGAAGCCGCTAAGTAGCAAGGTTGAAAGTTTCAAGACAAATTGAAAAATATAATAACATAGAAAATTAGAATTCAAACCATACCTGTGGCCCAAGCCAACACAGACTGAGCGTTCACGCGAAGAGAACGTAGATCTACGTCAGCTGAGGTTTCCTTAGGATCAGGAGGTGATTCTTGACCCGGATCTGGATCGCGATCAGCAGCACTCTCTGCCTCCATCACGATCATCAAATGCAACTAAGTAGTTCATTCTTCTTCTTCTTTTCGAGCTACGATTTCCCACGATCCTATCGATCCTGCACGAGTCCGTTCCCCAAGGAGTGCACTCCCATGGCATAAGTACGCGGAGTAGTTGGTTTATAACTCAGGGCACGCACCGGGGATATCTGAGGGAAAAGTGGGAGAAAGTGCCGCGAGTCAATCATAGTCGGCCCGGAAGGCCTCGTGTCGCCTCCCGGGTCTATACGACTCCCTGCTCCGAAGTGTAACACATCGTAGTCTCACTGTGACATATGTTTTCTAATCAAAATACCAAGAGAGAAAGTGAATATTGAGTCCGTTCCGGTTTGCAACCGGTGTCCTATTTGATACCGTCCCCTCTACACGATTTTCTCGTTAGTTGCATGCAAGAGAGACGATGCGACAGAAAGCGAAGCCCTTTGTAGTTTTCTCTCTCGCACTGGTAATGGTCTGCTGTTGGAGTTGAAATGCTATTTATACATAATCCTTGTTTCGCTCTTCTGGGTAGTGTGAAGAGGTCAACGAACAGGTAGAGCTCACTTTGATGAAGTAGGCAAGGCTGTGAGCGCTGTGGCTCAAAGCGATAGGCCCTAAATCTTACGAGATATTTCGAGTGCTATTGTTTGTTGCGAGCGCTTCGTCTTCGATGAGTCCTGCCTCTTTCCTGGCAGCTGCCCTCCTATAGGACCGACCACGAAGTGACTGTACTCATCTGCAGCCGATCAATGTTATATTGCACAAGAAGATATCGTTTTCGCCAAGCCAGTGCCCCGCCAAAGACCATCGCCGTGTCACACCGTCGGAACGAGTTCATGATGAGAAACATCATTCGCACGAGCGTGATGAAGAACTATTTCGAAAGACAACAATGTTGTCATAGTCTTTACCCCCGGGACGACAACTATGTGCACGTCCTGCAAGGGGAGAATGTCACCAGCGACATCAACGAAGACGACGGCAGTATTTCGGAAACCTGGAGTCACCGGAGGTCGTCAAGCTCCTCCGCGACCCGGTACATGTACATGTAGGTGACATGTCGACACGAGCGTGCGAAACACAGCATACACTGGCTGTAGTAATGTTGCGAGAGTTTGCGGAAGGAGTCCAAGTCGGGAAATCCATCAGCTCCAAAAGCTACCTGTAGGTGGGCGATGAGACTCCAGCTTCAGACTACAACAGTCAGGACTTGTAAATAGTTGAACTTTGTGAAGCAGCAGATCGAGAAGTTAGCTGAAATCGTAGCTGTTGCAGTATGTCGGCGCTACGTAGCTTGCATTTTTTACGGAGAGTCGATCGCCACGCGAATGTTTCTCTCCTCACCGAGAGCTATCTGGCCTCCAAACTCCGTCAGGGTCTGCCTAAGGTACCGAAGGTCCTTTGACTAGCTGCTGGCAGGACTCCATCAAATCCTTTAGCTTCAGCTCGGCGAGCAAAAGTCTCTCCTTCCTCCGCCATGAGCTGACACACGCAAACTGAATACAAAACGATGCACTTCACACGTGCTGGCTTGCACGCGTGCCCCCTTTCACGAACCCAGACAATCTTTTCGGGATTGGTCTATTACAGTGGTCCCTCTATAATCCGGCACCATTTGTGCCACGAAAATCTGCTGGATTAGGGAGGGTGCTGGATTAACAAATCTGATTTACTGCTGCAATGTGCATGAAGAGGACATTTTGGCTACTGAAAATTGTGCTGGTTTATCGAGGGTGCTGGATTATAAAGTGCCGGATTAGAGAGGGACGACTGTATACCCTAATAAATTATTATAGCACGGCATGCATGATGATAGCACATTTAATACTGTCTGTGGCAAAACATTATTTTCACAGTTTGCATCAGAGCATGGCCGGCCCTGTACCATGTCACGTGTACTGATGTCTACTCTTGATCGGAGCCAATCAGGCAACTGAATCAAGCTAACACTTCCCCATTCAACATCCGAGTGTCACCACCCTCGGTGCAGCCTGGAGGATCAAGGCGCATTGCTACATTGTTATAAAATGTGACACGTCGCTCGCATCGAAAAGGAGGCTCCATTGCTTGCTAATGATTATGTTTGTGTTGGGACTTTTATTAAAAATACATAAAAACACCAACAAACACTGAATAACATTGAGATGCAGCTTAGAGAGCGGCAGGAGGTGAATAAATCAGACACAACACATACTAGTCGTGGTCAAAGGCCGAACATTCCACACGTTTATACTTGCTAGCAAGAGTATAATAATATACTCTTGCTGCTAGTGATGCTGCCCAAATTACTATTTCGGAAAAGAAAGAGCAATTAGATCTCCAACTTGGTAACACTTTCCTATAAAATAGAATCATGGCATTCGCCTGAGCAATAACTTCTAGACATCATGTTGTTGAAAATTTCTATATAAATAGTATTGCAGCTCACAAAAACATCTATCAGTTCTGGTCTCAAGGTGATGTGGGTAAACATACAGACAAAGAAGTATTTTAAATTTCAACAAAATATGAAGTGAAATTTAAAGAAAGAGGTGACAATTCTCTTGGTTTCCCAGCCCAAACGAACGCCGCTGTCAACAGAGAAGACTTCACTGTTTGGGGCAGTGCCCATCTTCAGGAATAACTAAAGTTCAGGAATAGCTAAAGTTCAGGAATAGCTAAAGTTCAGGAATAGCTAAAGTTCATGAATGGCAGAGTCCCCATAAATATACGGGTAGCGGTAGTAGCCCTCGCTAACACCAGTCATGGCATGAAGTAATCTGGCTTCTGGTAGCAGTGAACACCGCCCGAAAGAGCAGCTAGACTCTGCTCCAAGCACACTACCTCTGTTGTTGCAGTCATGGCTTGCAAGGACACTGAGCACTGAAGCAGCACAATCCTAACATGGGTCAGGAGATGAGGTACCAATAATGTTCTCGATGGCTGAGTACGACCCAGCTAGGGCACACACTAGTCCAATGAAGATCATCTCCCCGAAGAAAGCCTTCTGGCCGAGCCCTAGCTCAGTGCCATCCTCTTTACTCAGCCAGTAGTAGAATAAGGGCGGGAACACAAAGTTGTTCATGCTGATAGTGGTGGCGCCAATCAGCGAGATGTACTTGTCGAAGTGGGGAATCCCCTCAGCCGCACCAAGGCACAGGAGCAGCACAAACGTGCGCAACAGAATGTGCTTGTAGTTGGTCTCTGCATGCACACAGAGCAAACACACTGATTGCACGGGCATTGTATGATACAGGCACAGTACAGCCCGCTGTGCTTGCCGGATCCGGCTTACCTGTACCAAGCGGAATCCTGTATTGACCGGACAAATTGCTGTGGATCGAACGTGTATCCCTGGATCAAGTGGAATCCTGTCATATCAGGACAGTTTCCGCTGAACCGATGGTGTTCGATCAGGGCAGGTTTTATGGTACTATTGGTGTGTGCAGCAGCTTGCTATAATTATCTAGAACAGCCCCCCCCCCTCCCCTTCCCCATCCTCCGTTGGGACATTCCTAGTCATTAAAACAGTACACTAATCACCGGACAAACATCATTCATACTTACTGGACGGCAATGAGATTAAATCCTCGGCATCTTGTACGACGGGCAGAATAGTGACCACTCCGTTGCACAGCGACACCACGCCGTACAGTATGGAGCAGATGATGGAGAGGACGTGGCCGGCTTCCGAGTAATGGCACTGTATGTTGAGCAGGATGTTGGCGTTGGTCACCTTGCCAAAGAGCTGCAGGCCGGCAATGGCCGTCGCCATGGCAAACACGGAGACGAACACGTAGGAGAGGATGAGCGCCTGCGACCACTTGCGCGGGTCACGCATGTCGTGCTGCAGCGTCGGAAAGATGGACATGCCGGCGTAGGTGAAGCTCAGCGTGGACGCGCCGATCCAGAACGAGCTGAACGTGACAGTGCCGGTCAGCGCCGGGAACAGTGTGGCCGGTGTGATGGCAGTGGTGGGTACTGCCGCTGCTGTTGTCACGTTCCATGCTATGCTGCTGGCTATGCTGCTGCTGGCAGTGGTGGTGGTGACTGTCGCCGGTAATGCTGACGTAATGACGGACACTGCTGCTGCCGCCGTAGTCGGGGCAACGGACGGTGCCAGCCCCCCGACTATGACAGTGACGAGGAGCATGACGGACGCCGCCAATCCCATGAGACCGCCAAGCCAGCCGACCAGCCAGGACTCCATGGGAGTACCTAGCCAAACAAACGGCATCATGGCGGCCGTGCAGAACAGAAGCCACACACGATCGGAGAAATGGTGCGGCAGCAGTATTTGAATGGTCGACGTGGCAACGAGCAGATCGACGACCGTCACGCCGAAGTTGGTCAGATTGACGGAGATGCGCACGGCCACGTCCCAGAATGGCCCGCCGGCCGCGCGACCAATGGCTGGGAATGGCCGGCGTACACGCTGCCCACTGTACCGCTCCGGCCATCTCCGCAGCATCATTATCCAGCATCGTCCCAGCAATACGGCCATGTACACCATGGTCAATGGTAGCACACTCATCAGCAGTACGCCACTGATCAGCCCTGTCTGCAGCAGTGCATATGGCAGCGGGATCGTGAACAGCACACCCGTCAAGATGAAGAAACTCGTCGATAGCACGCCGAGACCCTTGGCATCGGCTCCGTCGCTACTCGTGGCCAGAGGGTCTAGCAACGCTGACGTCTCCTGCACCGACGTGGAGGGAAGAAGTGACGCCTCACTTGCACTCATTGTACAGATTGTTCCGGACTTCTTATTGTATTGAAATTGTATGTCAAGGATTACTCAGAGGCTCTAGGCCTGCTATTCCAGCCAGAGTGCCACTCAGACAATTCTATTACAGCGGCAGTACTGAATCGAGCGTTAGTACATGACTGTATTCAAATAATTACAGACAGTGAATAAACCTAGAGTAGACGGAAGAAGGTGACTGCGGAATAGCGAACTAACGTGTTGCTTGCACTAGATCACCATGAAGAATGCTAGACGCTAGGTGGCTGCCATCGCAAGCAAACAGGTCAGCGATCGAAAAAAAACCTGCTGAGTTCGAGAGCCGAGGATCGAGGACGTCCCTTCCAGTTCCACACCGGGTGACTCATCAGGCATGCACTCCACCTTCTAATGACGAGTACCATTGGCATTACCTTCAAATAATAATATTACTATTTTAAAATAGTATCAGTGTTACAAGCACACTGCGTCACCATGGTCACATGTCCCAGCAGCTGCATGCTGCGACGTACGATGACGTAGATCATGGCAGCTGGCGCCTGGCATGGTGTACGCGACAAGAGTCAAGAGTCAAGACGAAAGAAAAATACCAGTTCTGCTATGCATATGGCCCTTCGCTTATCATAAACCATGATAACGCCGCTTATCACATATCAGGTGACCGTTTCCTAGGAATGGGCCAATCACTGCCCTTCCTAGGCGGGTGATATAGGCCGATATCACCCCTGCTGCTCCATATCACCCCTGCTGCTCCATATCACACCCGGCTGCGTACCTAGTACAGTACCCATTGGTACTCACATACTCGAATGCGTACTGTAGCTGAAACTGCATATTTAGGATTTCACTGCCGTCGCCAGCCCCCCCCCCCCCCCCCCCCCCCCAGCCCTTCTTCGGCCAGCTGGCTTGGGATTGTGGGAGGGGGTCTATGTGGAGGGGCTAGTGACAACAATGAATTCCTTACATATGCAATTCCATCTATAGTACGCATCCAAGTTGACCTACCATGAAGAATGACAAGGCCGAGGGTAAGCACAAACAGAAACTTACCATTCTTCTTCTAAAGCTTGTCCTTATCGTGTCCTCGTGAGAAAAATGGCTAGCTTTGATTTCGGCGTTTGTGAAGGTGACTTGGAAGATCAAGAGCTTTTAGAGGCTGCTGCAAATTATTTCAATTTTTTATCACCCAGCGAACTAGCCGAAGTGTCTGATTTTTCTTTATCATCAACCGCAACTGCAACTTTGTCGAATGGCGAAGTACTGGAGAAGACCACCACGGAAAAACGTGTAACATCCGAGCCAAGTATTGTAGAAGAAACGTCTCAACGATTTGTGCAAGTGTCGGAGGATGAGATCGACAGAATCCGAGAAAGCCGTGTTTCAACCAACACGAAGCGAGCCACCAACGTGTCTCGGATGTTTGGTGCACAGTCTATAAGAAAAAATGTGATCTGAAAACCATCTCAGCTACCAACCTTGCCTCAATCCTAAAGCATGCGTATGTGGAAATTAGGCAGATCAACAAGCTTTCGTACTCCAAGAACAGTTTGCTGCAATTCCGCAGTGCTATTCACCGCCAGCTACAAGACCTCAAGCGTAACATTATGGTAATAATAACTTTATTAGGATGACTCAAAGGCAAATCGCCTATCGAGGGGTTCACCGCGTTGAATGGTTGGGGTATGACAAAGCAAAGAGGCAACCATTGTGTGTGTGTGGGGGGGGGGGGGGGAGCTTCGAACTATGCACAGTGAAGGGATAATTGTATGTACATAACCAAGGAAAGGGTATACCGGACTAAGACTGGAAAAACAACCCCAAGCATCTCACCTACCTTGTCTGGTTCGTCATCACATATCACAGTGTCTCAGGGGTTCAGAAATACAAGTGCCTAACAGCTTACTTGCAGCCTAGCGAGCAAGATAAGATTGCTACAGCTCGCCTGCTCAATGCGGAGGTTGATAAAGCTCTGCAGGAGTCAACTCCGGCTGAATTGGAAGCCTTGGAAAGGCCACAAGTACCACCAGCCTCGCCAGCCTCATCGTGTGTCAGTTCGGAGAACAGCGCAAAGTTCATCTTCTCCGGAAACTTCGCAGGCGCTGTTCACATCCACGTTCATGATGTCAAAGCCTGTGAGCGCGCTAATTCTCAGATACAGTGCAGTATATTGCTTCATTTTCATCATCTTCTCTTCTATCTCTATTTCCTGGGACTCTTTTACATTGATGTCCTTTCACTTCTGCTTAGACTTCAACTAAAACAATTCGAAGCTTTGAATATTTCTGTCCCGCGAATGATGTGTCAGACGGGGGTGAATGGGTGTGGCATCGGAGAGGGTCTCCACACAATGTGATGTCCTATTCAGTTCACAGGGTCAAATCTACTACATGTACAGTAGTGGGTAGTACTACAATTGTAGTATCATGTTTATGTTTATGGACTCGATGTACACGTACATGTAGCATGTGATAAGCAGGATATGACGGTCGTACGTGTTAGGTTCGTAGGGTCATATGTGATAAGTAGAATATCACCCTCGTAGCTCGGGTGATACCGTACCCTCATATCAATCCCTTCTGCTTCGCAGTCGGGATTGATATTCGCCGGTATCACCCTCGTACTCATGAGATATTCTTTACATAAAACCCGCGTCAGAACATGTCAGATGGTGAAAAGTTGAAAACGTACCTTAGTAGATCTACGAGTACTACTAAAAGGTCGTACTCTAGTTTGTACGAAAACGTTGTACATGTGCATGAAAGTGTACGCTAAAGTTGTACCGATGACAGACTGATAATCCTTGCATAATGCTGTTCAGGGGCGTGCTCGGCCCCCCAACTAGGGGGGTGCACGGGAGCCGAGGGGAGGCCCCGGCAATTTTCTGCAATTTGTTTGCAACCTTTCTTGAATTTTAGAGCATATTTGCATACATTACAATTGCAATTACCCAGATTGAAATTTTTTGGGGGGTGCACGTGCCCCCCGTGCCCATCGCCGAGCACGCGCCTGCTGTTCCTTGCATAATGACAGCATTATACAGATAAATTGAGATAATCCTTGCATAATGACCGCATTATACAGCATATTTGCTGCATAATGACCTGTGACAGTAATTGTATCACGGAACTGCTTTCTTTTAATCTTGCATGGTTTTCGAAGCAATATTTGTACAATCATGTACATAGTCATTGTTTGACAATGGCGAGTATAGTAGTACTAGTAGGACAACTGTACAATCATGTAGTTGTCATGTTGAGTCTATGGAACTATTACCATCACACCCCAAAAAGAAGAACCCAACAATGGGGTACTGCTACTGGACCACTACCCCAGAAATTACGGTACTCTTGGTTGGTTCGTTTCAAAGTGCTATTGAAACTCCACCAGGAGAACACTCATGTGCAAAAACTGACTGTCCATGGACAAAGGCACACCATGTGGCTAGCATCACTGAATACAACACAAGAGAGAGAGAGAGAAAGAGATTGGAAGCTGTGTCGCAACTCTGAGTTTCACGTATTACTACGATCATCAGGCAACCTAACAGTAACATCACTGAATATCATCTACTGACAGAGTGCCAGTACTGTACTGTATGTAGATAGTAGATGAGGTACTATTAAAGGGCTTTGTTTGTAGAAAGTTGGTATACATGCACAAGTGGCTCAAGATTCGACACTGGTTTTCAACATCTTGTTCCACAACGAGAACATGAGAACATAACATCCCGGGTAAACGGTGTGACAAGCAAAAGAGGAGGTTAGTTGAGCAGATTTCTAGTAGTAAGCACAAACCAATCCAGCTGGCAGCAGGTGTGTGTGGGAGGGGGGGGGGCATGCGCGTGGGATGCATGCGGGGGCCAGGGCCCAGTCGCAAGCTCAGCGGCAGCAGTACCAGCAGCTGTAATCGGCAAGTCAACATTGAAGTACGTAGAAAGCAGACAGCCAACTAAAACTGTTCAAATGTTCACAACTGCAATCACACTAGTAGTTAATAACGCTACCCCAGAAAGCGCTGATCGTTTCTGGAGAGCTATTTTCGCAGATCAAACGATTTCACCTCGCCAGTGTACCAGGTCAAAATTCGATTTGGATTACAATGTCAAATACAGGCGCAGCGCTCAGCCCGACAAAGACCCAGCCAGCACCAACTCGGCTGCACAGCGGAAGAGGCGCAGTTATAAAAATAAAACAACAGGATATGACCAGCACACCCGGCAGACAAGTGTGCAGTACCGAGAGCACAAAGACTAGTGAACACAGCACTGGGCATACTTCAAGTAGTATATGTATATAGACTGAGATAGATACCTACATGTCCTGATGACTGATGTGTCGTGCAACGAATGGTAACGTAGAGACAAGACTCTTCAAACACTGCCGAGTAGAATTCTGAATGTAGCACTGTCTCCAGAGTTGAATAATGCTACAGAAAGCACGGACCATGGAGCGTACTGCCAGGCTTTGAATGTGCCATGTGACAGTTACATTCGGTTCAGTTTGGTTACGATCACCACGCGCACGGACTGATCAAACGATGTGCAGACAGCCAAGCCCTCCTGCAAGCGCATAGTGACACACACACACACACACACACACACACACACACACACACACACACACACACACACACACACACACACACACACACACACTTGTTGCTCACTGCCAAAACTGGTCACGTGGGTCTCCCCGGGAGAGGGGAGAGAGACTCAAAAGGAATCTTGGAAAGATGACTCAACTGGCTATTGAACCGCCCAACGGCCGACACCCCCTGAAATCCCCAAAACTCTGGGTGGACTTGAAAATGATCCCACTTATGGGCTCACCACACCTCAGTAAGTGGGTGAGGACAAGGTGCAGAAAAAGGATTGACGGCATCAGAGTATCCGTCCTGGGATCCAACTGCAGTTACCCCTGCCCCCAGTGAAGGTAATACTTGCTACTAGTGTGGGTGGCTAAATCAGAGTGGATCTGATCTAAGCGTCACTAGCATCATTGATTACACAAGAGTTAATCTAGCCAGAAGCAGTCCATGGTTAACAGGTATGTATACTTCAAATAGAAAGTAATCTGAAACCAACAAAGGTGGCAGATACAACAATACACCTTCAAGCAGCCGAGCCTGTTGGCAACAGACCCAACACAATCAGGCATAATTGTACCCACCAACCGGACTAGCTGGCACACACACACACACACACACACACACACACACACACACACACACACACACACACACACACACACACACACACACACACACACACACACACACACACACACACACACACACACACACACACACACACACACACACACACACACACACACACACACACACACACACACACACACACACACACACACACACACACACACACACACACACACACACACACACACACACACACACACACACACACACACACACACACACACACACACACACACACACACACACACACACACACACACACACACACACACACACACACACACACACACACACACACACACACACACACACACACACACACACACACACACACACACACACACACACAGATGCACACACACACGCACATTATTAGAACATTCGCACTGTACAGTTGTATTATCCAGCTCCAACCTTGATCATCTCGTAGTCCTGAGGATGTTAGCGTAGAAATTATGTTCTGAGAACTGTGAAGCTTGCTGTTTTCGGTCAGTTCTGCTTTTTTCACATGCAGTGTGGGCCACATGCAGTGGCCATTGATTATCCATGGGATCTGTACATGACCATGACTGTTGGGTCTAATTGAATGAAGTGAATGCGCCACATCAGAAGAATAAAGATTATTAATTTATTTTGTTCGTTCGCCAAAGCTATATTCGAGAGATTATTCGTTCGAAGAAACCCCATTCGTTGCATCACTAAATTGCGCGTACCTTATCCCGACTCCAGTCCAGACTGGAGATTGGCTGCGTTGACACAGTGACATTCTGTATCAAGTCCACATTGCCCACCACACCTTCTGCCTTGCCGTCGTCATCAACATGCGTGCGTTTGGCTGGGTACGAGCTGCAGATGGAGGAGACATAACACTCGGTCAATGTAAGTAGATGTGCATACCGGTACAGGAAATCACTGCTCAGTGAGCCTGTAGACCGTGATGAAAGTGCAACATGAATGAAAATTCAACCTGACCCAGTTTTGAATGAAGGAACGACCAGCATATTTATCAAAGGGACTGCTCCGACTTCGCCAAAGCGATGCCCTGTGATTCAAGACATGACGCATAACCACATGCCAGAATCGAAACGACAGCGGCACCCATTGCAGTCATGCTGTATCCAAGGCAACACCAATAACTATTTCCGCCAATGTGGCAGGAACAGACACACTAGCAGTGCAGTTGCAGCCGCAACTGCAACCGCACCATCTCTATAGCAGTATAGGGACACTGAGAGAGTAAAACATAACAATAATAATTATACACACAGTTGGTATCCAGAGGTTGTAGAACTGTAGCCAATGCCCCCCCCCCCCCCCCCCCCCAATTTGGTTGTGTTACCAGCACATCTGGCCCATACTCTTGGTAGGAGCCACCTTTACACATACACACTGCAAAACATATACAAATGCTTATCACTCTTCTATATCGCCCTCCACTAATTCTTGTGATCCTTGACTGATCCCATGTTAGCCGTACGTATAGGATATTGACCAAGACGAGGTCTATATCCTATACATACAAAAAATTACTTGTATGTTGGCTTACTATTTCCATAAGTTCATACTGCCGTTACCACCGCACGTCATAAAGACATCACGGTTCTGTGGCAGGTGTCGGGCACACCACACCGTCGACTGCTTGACCTGCATCAGGGGCAAGAGAAGCACAGCGAGCGAGCGTGTCAAGTTCACAGCTGGGGAAAAGCCGCTGAAACGAGCAGAACCTAAGCCATCCAATCACGCTGTACACGTACTGTACATGTAGGAACTTACCTTCTCTGTCAGTGAGGCAAAGCCCTTCTTTGGGTGCTGCGTGCGCATGTCATAAAGTGAGTAGCAGCTTTCCAGGGTAGTCACCGCAAGTTTGTTCATCTGTATGTCTTTCCTGTCAAACTCCACGCAACAAACCTGGAGGACAAAGAACGATGCGCGAACAACATCCGTCTAAGCACACATTATCAATGCCAACTGAGAATGGAGAGATGGCAATCTTGGATGAGTAGAAAAATCGACCTTCATAGGTACAAGCAGGAGTATAATAATCCCCCAAGAGTGTGTACCTCCTGATACCCTTTCTATGGGGTACGCCGACGGCGAAAACTCACATCACGTGGTGCAGTGTCACAGTTGTACGTTTCCAGCCCGTTTTTAGCGAGCAGCGGAGTAATAAAAAAGCACTCTCTGACAGAAACTCACTGCGGGTATGCAAATCTCCAGCATGATCGTGGCAGATATTCAAATTGCGGGCACGCTATGCTTCGTTTGTACGTAGTACAAACGTATCTGAGACACGTGATGTGAGTTTTCGCCGTCGGAGACCCCATATGCAGAGTTACACACTCCTGGGGGGTTATATACTCTTGGTACAGTCAGTATCGCCTATAGCGTTGGTGTTTGATTTTGAGCATTTTATCACTATAAGCGATATATTACTACGACCGATACTGCATGTAATGTATGCGAGTGGGATGTCAAACGACTCAGCGTGCCGTGCACATACGCACTACATACATGTACAATGTCATGTAGCTGGCTGTAGCTCCTGACACAGAAAATCAGCATTTCCTCACGATGGAGGCATATTGTGGCAACAACACTCACTGGACAAGCTCTTCACGAAAAAGCAACACCCTGTTCTCCTCTAACATCGCTTGATTTTACATCAATAACTATAACCGATGCAAAAATAATGTAATAAAGGTCTTTTGAAATAAGAATTTGATCACTATAGGCGATATATTACTATAGACGATTATTACTATACGCGATAACTGTGTATACTTAGTTATGGCAAATGAAAATGAATTTGAGAAATTGATCACTATATCCGGTATATTACTATAGCCGCCAACCTTATAGGCGATACGGACTGTACAAGTACACAATATTGGGCTAATTCTGCACCCTAAGATACTGCAGAAAACCGTTTCTCCCAGTGCAGACTGTGCCACAAGACGGTACACAGCCAGGACTGGCATTGCCAAACAAGAAAAAGAGCCAGGAGAATCGACACTACCAAACACTTCTGATAAAAGACAATGCCCAAAACGCTAACCAAAGTGTCATTGCAGCATGGTCAAAGCACTTGTACTCCATTTAGTCCAGATGGGTGAGGCTTGAGGGATTCAAAAAAATTGAGCCTCATATTCAAATAAGCAGGGTTGATGCCCCAACGTTGCTGTGATATCACAGGAGACTCCCGTGGCCAGCTTACCCCGTTCTTGACGTTGGTCTCCCAGCGTAAAGACATTGTGCGCAGGTCGAACAGCTTCACGTCGCCATTGTCGTAGCCGGCGCACACGCATCGGTCCGAGTCGGTGTGAGAGTCGCCTAGTCCAAACACACACAGTAATAAAACCCCACCACAGTCAGCACTACCAACAAGTATGCAACTGTGCACAGTCTGGAAAAGCAATTCTTGAATACAATACATGTAGGCAAAGATAATAAAGTAAGTATAAATCAATGCAACCTCCACTCACACCTCCACTCACACCTGAAAACTATACCTGAAGTACATGTACATTGCAAACCAAGATGGAAACTACTGTAGCAGCAAGGCAATGTAGCTAAAAAAAACACATTAAATGTTTAACTTCAAATGCAGTGCAAAAATCATGCAAAACACCCGCATGTAATAATCCATCATCAAAAGGAAAACTTACCGAAACACACCGCCCAGCAATCTCTTCTAGTTGTGTCATCGTCAGGTTCCATACATGCAACCGGCGTTTCCTGTTGTCTTGTGTCCCATACCTTTACCGCGCCTGTACACGATGCCAATGTCATCACATACATGTGCATGTGTACATCCAGACACAGACACACAGACAGACACACAGACAGACACACATACAGACACACACATAGACACACACACAGACACACACAGATACACACACACACACACACACACACACACACACACATACACATACACACACACACACACACACACACACACACACACACACACACACACACACATACACACACACACACACACACACACACACACACACATACATACACACATGAACATGCAGATTATAAAACATGAATTTCCACCATGTGCATAATCAAAACTATTATTTAAAACAACCAGAAGGGGGACCACTACAAAACCTAGTCAATAGTGTCACTGCACTCACCATCACGCCCTCCAGTTACTATCTCTGGAGCACCGCCGCCGATTCCTAGACCACCACAGGCATCTATGGTGTTGACAATACCGTCATGGGCTTTGGCGGCATACACTGGTAGGTCAATGTACTCAAGATCCCTGTGTGTACGCACAGACAGACAGACCCACACACACACAATTGTACAGAAGCACACACTGTGTCCACGCGCCACGGGGAACGTGTGTGTCAAAACATGGATTCAATGGATCTACGACCACTCTGAGCTGGTCACAACTGACGAGATAAAAACTTGACAGAACCTTCACGGTCATTATCGCTATTCGGAATACATGACTTGCCAAATATTGGATCCGGTAAAGAAAAGTTGTATTTCGCAGTGAGGTTATTTCACAGTCATGGCACTGGGGGTCACTTCAAGACAACGAAAGCTACAACCCAGGGGATAAGGCATCAAACCAGCTATATTCTCTAATTCAGCATTTCGGACGAGAAGTACCAGACTAATTTGCTCTTCTCTAAAAGCTCACGAAAGTTTCCTCCTTACAACCTTCTGTATGGTTTTCAAGAGGAGAATGAAAAAGATAATAGAGAGGTTCCGCATAACGTAATTACGTTAGTAAAAAGCGTAGTCGATCTACGGAAAGTCTTACGTAAACTGCATGCGCATCTGTGTTCCGCCATACGGAGTTTTCAAATCACGTAGCTGCCCTTGGCAACTCCGAACGCGGCAGTGTACGACCAGATCGACCTGGGGAGAGAGTCATAAATTTGTACCCCAATCCACTTACGGACCAGCTACGTTATCAGAGCCCTATCTACGTACTCTACGTAGACAACTTTCCGTAAGTAGAGTGCAAACTCGAGAATTCACGGGTTTTCCCCGCCCACTAACGTAAAGTTGCTCAACTTTACGTAGTGCGGAACCTCTCTAATAATGATAACTGTGGGTCGTCAAAGTAGAGAAATGAGCCCTACTACACTGAGAAGGTGATGCAGGACGGAAAGTGACGAAGTCCTCGCCATGTAACTAACCAGAAATACGACCAGGCGGCAATCATCACATTTCCATACCTACCAACCATCGCGATTTGGCCCGGACCGTCCCGATATCCAGGGTGGTAATACTGTAATACGCACCCAAAAGTGCATTCATCGCACGCCTCACAGCTACATTTGTACACATGTTCAATAGGTATGTCATCATGTCATTGTCCCGATCTCAGCTTTGCAAAGGTTGGCAGGTATGCATTTGGCAGCACTCACCATGTCATCAGCTTGCCCTTAAAGTCACCGGTGGCTAAGTGACGTTGCTGAAGTGAGGTAGCGCCAAATGTTCCACACTTGAAAGATGTCTGCTTCTCAGCCTGGTCAAGAGAAGATCATGTACACACACACGCACGCACGCACACGCACGCGCACGCACACACACACACACACACACACACACACACACAGGTACACACTCTGTCTGCCTGTCTCTTTCTCCTGCTGATTGGTCAAATCTTCACATCTCAATGCATTCTGATTGACTAATATTGTGCTGCTGCTGATTGCTTTGTTTTCCGCCTCGTTCCGTAAGTAGTATAGCTTGAATTAGCTTGAATTAACTTCAACTATGCCACCAACTATGCTACCAACTATGCTACCAACTATGCTACCAACTATGCTACCGCTGCTATAGAACTACCAACTATGCTACCGCTGCTATAGAACTACCTACCGTATTTCCCCGATTATAAGTCGCACCTTTTTACACTAAAGTTCAGAGTAAAAAAGGGGGTGCGACTTACAATCGAGCGTGGCTTAGTACTGAAGTGAATATATCGAAACAATATTGTTCAAACCTAAATATGGGGGTGCGACTTATAATCGAGTGCGACTTATAATCGGGGAAATACGGTACGATGCTAACGCTGCTATAGAACTACCTACTATAGTCCATTCACCAGATTGGGGCCCATGGCATAGGTTTTTCACAGGCTCACTTCATTCTTATTCAAGATGGTGATGTCGGTGACGTATATAGGTCCGAAATATTATAGCCGTTGTTTTACACCTACAGGGAACTGAATACGGTGAAAATTGATCAAGATATGTGCAACAAGTATTCAGACACATGTATCAGGGGCCCCGATTTGGCGAGCGGACTATACTGTCCCTCCAGGAAATCGCGATTCCACGGATGCAACAAATTTCGCGATTTTGGCCCAAACCCGATTTCCCGCGTTTTCTGTTGTTTTCTGCACTATATCTCACTTTTTTAGGGGCCGTCCGTAAATATCGAACTTTTTTCACCAAACGAATTATTTTAGTTTAGACCCAACCCCTCCCTCCCTCCCCCTTAGAACGTAAAAATTGTTGACATATACAATGCATATACAACAAAACCCGCAAGTGTGTAACTGCTCCTATGGCCATGTACATGTATCGAACTTTTCTGAAACGAAATTGATCAACCCCCTCCCACCCCATAACGAAATTATTTCGTTTCGTGAAAAAAGTCCGATAATTATGGACGACCCCTTATGCACTTTTCACGCAGTTCTTTCCATGATCCTGTAGGTTATTTGCACAGTACGACTCCCGAGTAGATATACGATGCAACAAATTTCGTGATTTGACCCAAATCCGCAATTTTCTGCAAATAATTCCGCAAATTCCTGGCAAGTTCTGCATGTGTCTGCACTTTTCGTCGCATTTTTTGTTACTTTCTGCCGCAATTTCTTGCGCCAGTTTTCGAGAGTTTTTTCCGCAAATTCCCGCAGGGACAGACTATAGTATATGATCTGCGATAAGTACACTCAACATTCAACTGTCGATCTCGATTAGTGCCAATAATGACTCCTTCCCTCTCAAATCTTGGCAAGGACTAGGTGAGCTTGTGGAGCTGACTGGATCCTTCAATCAACTATATTGGTTGATGACCTGATTGGGTTTTCACTGCGTGACGAATGTATATGCTGTTGTCATGGGATCGGTATTGCATATGTCTGGCATGGCACATGTACGAGTACATGCACAATGCTTCAATTCTTTTTTAATTAATTTTGTTCCAGCAAATGGCCTGGTACAACAAAAGTACTTCGCGTTCAAGCCTGCAGTTTCTCACCTCCTTCCTGAGCTCAAGTCCTCCTGAAGATACTTCGTAGACCTGAAGTGCACCAGTGCCACGTGGGTGACTGCCCATTGCCACGAACTTGGCACTGCATGGTATCCACTTGGCATCGTACAGTGTGTAGTTGACGTCCTTTTGCAAATGGACAATGATCTGGGGTTTCTCTAGCGCAGCAGCCATGGCTCAGTCTGTGCCTCCAGGCTCAGACTCAGGGAGCAGCTCGCGAAAAGCACTATGAATAATCTACTCCAATACTAAAAGATGATAGAATCTACGGTGATTGAATTATTTTGTTGATGGTCTACTATACAGAACTTCATTAAAATTTAAAAAAATTAATGAAATGAACAGAAAATTTCCACCCTTTCAGTATCGCCAAAATAATTCCTTGAAGGCAGCTAGCCTACAGTAATTCTCTTATTATGTGAAATACCGGTGTGCAGCTCGCTGACAAAATACCAAGCTGCGAAGACAGTCACACGATTATTTCACAAATTACAGAGTCAATGAACCACTTCATTCGTTTTGTCTTTTGAAAGTTTGATGAAGTCTACAAAAAGTGTGCAAGGGTTTTTTCGTGCATTTGATTGCATACTCTGTGATATTTTAGGTTGTCATGGGAGTGTTTCCCTGGCACCAAGCAAGGGGGCTCCCCAGTCCCCACATAATTACCGGTATGTACATCTGGTACATGGTCTCTCCGAGAATCTACTGACTGACTGACTGAGCTCTGTGCACATGTGACGTGAGTCTGAACCAGGGAGTCGTAAAATACGACTCCCTGGTCTGAACTCGATCGATACCGCTTCCATTTTTTGTTCAGAATCCTGGCCTCACATTACCTGCCAGTCCATGGCATGGACATGATGTATCTGTAAGAATAAGACTTGTGGACTGCAATGGTCCTGAGTTGTTTGGACTGATGGATGAATAGAATGGTGGACTCGGATTCAATGTGTACCAATGTACCGGTACTGATGATGACTATGTACACTCAATATGGAGGATGGTGCGGCGTATTTGCAAGAGTAGAATCTACTCATACTCTTGGCATCGGCAAGAGTACATAACCCCCAGGGTTCCACCCAGGGTTATGTACTCTTGGTATCCATGGTATCGGCAAGAGTCCATGACCCCATTATTATGGACTCTTGGTATCGGGTAGTGCACTGGCCCGAAGCAGTAATGCTACAATGAACGCATAATCCTGATCACCAAGACATAACATGTGTAGCTGAGGATTGGAGACATCTCACTTCACTACTATAGTAGCTTCGACTTGATGATCAAGCATTTGTATTTCACGGTACAAGTGCTCAGTTCATGAAGAACAGGCCTTATAGAATAAGGAGCACATAGACACGGTGGAAAGGAAAGAAGAAGCAGACAAAACTATATAAAAAAAGAACCAATTCAAAATTTCAAAATCAATATCCAGTTGGGCATGTAAATTACAAAATAATAAAACCACAGTGCACTAGTGCTTCAGCTGAAGAGGGAGAAACTGCACGAGTTACGAGGCGTAAAAAATTGGCAAAGCTAAAGATAAATAACTCAAGCATATCCGATGGCTCTTCACGTTAAAAAAATTGAAAAATTGTTTGGCTGCCCAGGCGAAAGTAAAAGCAGACCATCTGAGCCAGCAGATATGAACGAGAAGAAAACAGTAAAATACGAATACCGTATTTTAGACTACACGATTGGGATTGACATTTAGTGCCCGAATGCCACCTTAAGACAGTCAGTGGTGATCCACAATGCTCCAGAACATCTAAATTGAAAAACAAACAAAAAACAACGGAAGGTCCAGCCTTCGGTGCAGGTCTGGCTGGCTACATGAGTCACTCAGTTCATGTGAGATGGATATAAACAGCAGATTCGGTGTTTCAAAAGTCCTAAGTCGGCGCAAAAGAGAAGAATAAAAACAAGTAAAGGGAGGAGGACGACACTCACGACATGCTTGCGCCTGAAGATAGCATTGTGAGTTCAACTATGTTGACTAAGAGAGATTAAAAAAAACACGGAAAACTGACCAGCAGACAGGTGACACGTAGAGGCAGATGAGCCGTCATACCATCAAGTACAGAGGAGGTTGAAAAGCAGACCGACGACGCATGCGCACGGGCCACTACAGCGTGAGCGCATTGGCAGCACGCAGCAGTTCCATGCTGGGAAAGTGCGTGGAGGTCTGGATAACATCACGCAACTGTTTGCCGCTCACGCACAGGCAGATGGGGCGGAAGAGCTTGGGTATGTTCTTGGCTCCGCGCCGACCATGCTGCAAGTCCCAGGTCACCAGGCGCAGTGCAAGCAGATGCTCAAACGCCTGTGTGTAGGGACACAAACAAACGAGAGCAAAACCATAATTGACCACTGCATCAGCATACGAGTACTAGCAAAAACAAAGGCAACACACACACAGTGGTGCAAAGTAGTAGTGAACCCCGCATCGCATACAGCGAAACGTCAGCAATATGGATAGTGGGGCTCTAATAAAACGCCCTACCCGCCCACGGGCAGCAGAAAAGTGTACTTAGTATCTGAGGTTCTTCTTATCCCAATACAGTAACACCTGTCAAGGAGACCACTCGGATAAGGCGACCACCTGTCCAAGAAGACCATTAGTACAACCAGGACCAAGGGATGCTATTTCCAGTCAAATGACCCTGGATAAGGAGACCACCTGGTTACAGAGACCACGTTTTCAAGGTCCCTCGAGCGGTCGTCTTAAACAGGTTTCACTGTACAATACTACGTCAGTACCCAGTATAGGGCAATACAGCCGTGTCCCGGACAATGTGCGTGCAGGTGTACGTCTTAGTGTGCACTAGGAGAGTTCCACTAAGCCTTCAAAGGCCATCAGGATCTATCCGTCAGCAGGGTTCTAGCTAGGAAAATCTGCAGAAGGCAGTAAGATCAACACTGGGGCCGCATAGCACTCGGTGCTAGCTGGCTCACACCACCCAGACCTGGCTGAGCAGCACAGTACATGTACATGTAATATGGCCCAGAATCTGCGAAAACCAGGCTTAGGGTGAAAATCATTTTTTTGAGAAAAATGATGTTTTGTAAAAAGGTTGTGTCGCGTGGACGATCGAGTGCAGCGAAGTGGAACCAGAGAGAATCTCGCTTGTTTGAAGAAGAAGCAGTCATGGCAGGAAGGGTTTCAGTAGTCAGGGAAGTCAACGGGCTTCCGGTAGAATATTCCTTGCTACTCCTCTAGTCACAATGAAGAGTTTTTGAGCTGAGCGAACGGATTCCATCTCCTGCACACAGGGATGGCGAAATGTCTGCGCTAGCTGCTGCTTGCGGAAAATGGTGAAGAAACCGTCTCCAGTTAGAGTCGGGATGGCGATAGCGAGGAGAACCTGGACGACATCGATTCAGCCAATCGAAGTACGGAGATATTAGTTGTTTCTGGGCCTCACGCAAAGGGAACACGCGCAGCAGAGCTCATACGTTTGCAGCAAGTTCACGAGGAAAAAGGCTTGAAGCGCAGTGTGAAAACTGTTTTGAATTGAAGTCCTTGGCGATGAAGTGCTCCTGTACTCTGTAGTACTGAATGCCAGGCGAATGAGCGAGCAGATCGAGAGGCCCCCACTCGAGACTTTCCTCGCTGGACAGCTAGCTCAGAGCTGCAAGGGATTGTACATGCCGATATTTCACTTGCTGGTCAGCACCAAGCAGATACTGCAGCACGCCAGCACACTATGCGCATACTATGAACAGTGGAACAGTTTGAAAGGCTGTGTTCTTGCTTGTTTCTGAACAGTTGTACTAGATTCACCCTTCAAAAGGTGCCATCTCAACTAGAGTCGGGTTTCCTTGTGGTGTGTAGCGCCAGAGCATGCCAGGACATGTATTCAGCCCCAGAATGTGCTGAGTGAGGAGCAAACAAAAATAATTCGTGCAGAACTGTGCATTGCCACTACAGCCTGCACCAAGGGGCCACAACAAGCCTGTCCCCACATGCCTACCTTGTCATGTCACCAAAACAAAAATCATCCATGTCTCTTCCTTCAGTCTGGTGGATCTCTCTTCATTTCTTTCCTGTGATAACAATTTTGTGTTTTTTTTGGATTTTTTAACACAATACCCTGGTGTGTTTGAGATACTTTTAATACCACTATGAGTCGACCCACACCTGTAATATTTTGTTTCCTGACCTCCAATGCCCAGTAGAAGCTGAAAACGGGAAAAAGTCATTTTGTGAAATTTCACCCTAAGCCTGGTTTTCGCAGATTCTGGGCCATATGATATAAGGGGCCATCCGGCATTATCGATATATTTCACGAAACGAAAAAGTTTAGTTACGACCCTCCCCCACCCACCCACCCCACTGAACGAAAAATATATTGACTTGACAGCTAGAATGGATTGATGTTTCAGCTATCCATATTTTTCATAACGAAACTCTCCCCGACCCACCCACAAACGAAACTTTTTTTCGTTTTGTGTAAAATATTGATGATTTATGGACGGCCCCTAACGCAACACTGACCTTGGATGCAGCTGTCTTGCTGACCAGGTGAACACGACCGGCCGCAAACTTGGTGTAGTCTGAACAAGCGGAGCAGAGCGCAAGTAGATCACAAGCAGATACTTGTACAATCAGCTATATCTGCCTGAGTTCAGCAGAAGATTAGTAGATGCACATGGTATTAAGGTGGCTCAAGCTACATGTACGTGTCTCTCTAGCACATGCCCCGCATGTCCTCAGTAAACAGGTGGACAAGAAGACTTCACACCCTCTGCCTTACCATGGTAGACCATTTCAAAGTTGATTGCTCTGCTGCCCTGATGTGTGGCAAGACGGAGAAGGCTCACCAGCAGACAGACATCAGCCAAGGTCAGGCCTGAAAGAAAACAAGGCGAGAGCATGAACATTGGAAGGAGGAAGAGCCATACAGCGGTATTTCATCATACATGCACATATTCAGCAATACTACAGCGGCGCTGGTGAAATCAAACCCGATGTGAAGCATGCATGATGATGATGGCAGCATATCAGCAGGTGGAGGACACACTGCATTGTGATATGCTGTCATCATCATACATGGCAACTATCAAGCAAGGCTGGCATATACCACTGTACTTGTACATGATTGTGTGTACACTGTACACCCAGCAATATTCGTACCCCTGCCGGGGGCGTCAAGGGCCGTGCAAGGCTGGAGTGCCAAATACGCCCAAGGGAGAAGAACACGCTGACACGACTCTCCAGTCTCCAGTGTTCACTGATCGCATGGCAGAGTTGCCACTCGGTACAGTCACTAACTACATTATGACTGTATGCTCAACACCTGACAAGTCCATACAAGTCTGACAAGTAACAGTTCATATACAGATATTTAGAAAAGCGATCGTGTCAGGTGTTCTATTATTGTGAGCACACTGCTACAACCAGGCAAACCGATCAAGATCAATGGCAACACGTACGATTAACACCTGTCGGAGTTTTATCATAGAAAGCGGCGCGCTGCAGAGGAGCACAGAACACGCCTGTCTTACCTCTCAACATGGTCATCTTGCCATCTTCATAGGGCTGTGACAAGGACTGCTGGAACACACTGGTGCTCACCAACGGCTCAGCCTCGCTCATGTAGCAGACAGGCACTGACTGAAGTATCATACAGGAGAGCACACCAAAGCAACATGTAAAGATTGTAAACACATACACAATAGCGAGAGTTCCCAGATTACCTGGAGTGCTCAGCACCACAAGGATGGAGCATTACCACAAAGGCAGAAGAGAACAGAGACAGTCGTCTGAGGATGGCCTTAGCTTTGCCTATGTGCATGAAACGCAGTGTTACAACAATGACCTAGCCGGCTGTCTCTGTTCTCTTCTGCCTTTGTGGAAACACATACATGTACATGGTTGCTGTCGGATGATGATCGGTAAAGCTGTGAAACTCAGAGTTAAAGCAGAACCGCTTTGATTCCTTCTTTCCAGTGGGTGTAGATGTACATATGCAGTGGTCAGCTATTATATTGTTCTCCAGCCTTCAACTAGCAGCGTGCAAGGGTCAAGGTGTGCCACAGAGACGCTTGGAGATGCTTCTTCCTTTCACACCTTTTTTCGTAGTTGACATATTTCCATTGGTAATTTCTCGGGGTGAAACAATCATGCCGACTACTTGTCAACTACTCATTATTGTCGTACTCGATACTTGCTAACAGTCGCAAAAGGTGCTCATCAAGTACTAGGAAGGCTTTCCAGCCACCAAAGTTCTGGCTAAACAGGCAGGCCAAGCCACTAACAACTCTGATAATGATATTTACGATGGAGAACTGTGATAGCGAGCGGTCTGGCATCTGTGGTCCCATTACGCTGACGTGCTTCATCACTACTTCCTCACAAGGGAGAGGAAACGGTAGCACTATTGTAATGCAATTGAACACCAGCCCCCGTCCTGTTCTTTGACGACAACTGCAACACCACAACCTGTAAACAGGTCCACAAAACAACAATAATCCTCATCAACCAATTTAACGCCCATACAACACAACCCACCAGCAAACGACGCAGCTCCCACACGCTGAGGCTCAACTCATGCTGATATCGTAGCGAGTCCAGAACGCCTTGATCACCCAAGATCGATTCCTACACAGCAAACACACATCAAAAGAAGGAGAGATTGATAAAAGCAACCCATCACATTTCTAAGAAGAAAAGAGGACCAAAGAGCTACAAGTGACGCTATACTGTCCACTAACACCACCAGTTACTTTACAATCAGCTCATGCGATAACATTGCACGACACTCATGAGGTCATCGAGATGATCGAGATGCTCAATGCACAGACTACCGAAACAGGCATACAAATGCTCTATACATTCCTTTTTCAATGCACTATTCAAGCATGCCACAGCGCACTACTCTCATTCCTAACAAGCATGCCACAGCGCACTACTCTCATTCCTAACAAGCATGCCACAGCGCACTACTCTCATTCCTAACAAGCATGCCACAGCGCACTACTCTCATTCCTAACAAGCATGCCACAGCGCACTACTCTCATTCCTAACAAGCATGCCACAGCGCACTACTCTCATTCCTAACAAGCATGCCACAGCGCACTACTCTCATTCCTAACAAGCATGCCACAGCGCACTACTCTCATTCCTAACAAGCATGCCACAGCGCACTACTCTCATTCCTAACAAGCATGCCACAGCGCACTACTCTCATTCCTAACAAGCATGCCACAGCGCACTACTCTCATTCCTAACAAGCATGCCACAGCGCACTACTCTCATTCCGAACAAGCATGCCACAGCGCACTACTCTCATTCCTAACAAGCATGCCACAGCGCACTACTCTCATTCCTAACAAAGGTCAGTAGATGCTGTGGAAACCATTGGCAAACATACGTGAATGTGCGTATTCCACTCATCTCGGAACTTTTCGTCTGGAAACGATGACGGAAGATAAAGCAAAGCACTGCAGATACGGACACAAACACACACACACATATACACACACACAGCGGATGGACAGGCACCCAGACAGACACAGAAACACACATATACATACACATAGACACTGACACACACACACACACATACGTACATGCCCACAGCTCTGACCGGAACTACATAGCATCAGGACTTCAATTCCGTTCAAATCACTCAGACCAAAGTTCATGCGAACACACGCACATGTAAGTAACTGACAAGTTAGGACGCCACCAAAGCATGAGGGTAATCTACCAATGACCGAGCCTGCCATATAGAGAATGATACGAGGGCATTCAATAACGAAAAATAGCGAGAGAGAGAGAGAGAGAGAGAGAGAGAGAGAGAGAGAGAGAGAGAGAGAGAGAGAGAGAGAGAGAGAGCGAGCGAGCGAGAGAAAGAGAGAGAGTGAGAGATAGACAGAGAGTGAGAGAGAGAGAGAGTGAGAGAGTGAGAGAGCGAGAGAGAGAGAAAGAGAGAGAGAGAGAGAGAGAGAGAGAGAGAGAGAGAGAGAGAGAGAGAGAAAGAGAGAGTGAGAGAGAGAAAGAGAGTGAGAGAGAGAGAAAGAGAGTGAGAGAGAGAGTGAGAGAGAGAGAGTCAGAGAGACACAGAGAGAGAGAGAGAGAGAGAGAGAGAGAGAGAGAGAGAGAGAGAGAGAGAGAGAGAGAGAGAGAGAGAGAGAGAGAGTCAGAGAGACAGAGAGAGAGAGAAACAGAGAGAAATACAATGACTTCTATGTTAGTGAGAGACAACATATATGCGTATGCTCAGGTGTTACACCGAGACTCTCTGTGTTCCTCTTACCGACTGATGTCCACATACAGCTGGAAGGGCATGGCATGACGAAAGCTGATCGTACGCTGTGAGAAGCGAGACCGCACCCGCTTCTCCAGGAGGCCCAATACATCCTGGTGAAAAGGGCCAACAAGTGCAAGGTACTGATTCAACTCAACAAACAAAAGGAGAGAAAAAGGAGAAAAAACGTGCAACATACACACTGCCGAATACATGCATGTACAAAAAGAACAAGATGGCATAAGTAGTATCCTTGCTTACAACATGTGGACTCAGTGCCACGACGGTGAGAGGAGTGGCAATAGTCTGTGCTACGTCAAACAAGTTGTACAGCAGCCGCTGATCACTGAAACTGGTGAACTCCTGGAACTCATCAAGGACAATGACGATGCTTTGTTGTCTGCTACTACCTGCATGACAGAGATGCACCCACCCACCCACATGCAATCACACGCATACACATACACACACACACACACACACACACACACACACACACACACACACCTCAGACCTGCCCATCGCGGAAGCGATGATAGCGAACAGCTATGTTAGACATAGCAACTTGTGCTGGGATTACACCATTCAACAGCTTGCAAGGCTGATGAGTTGACCGTCACTATTTTTAGCCTGGTATCCACCACACAGCTGATTGAAGTGACTTTTTCTGGCCAGTGAATCCCTATAAAAATTTTGTCATTTTCACACACACACACACACACACACAGATTCAGGCAGTCACGCACGTACACACGCACACAATAGGTACACCCATAGCTCAGTTATCTGGACCTCGGTTATCTGGACCCACTTGAAGTTGCAGGCACTTCGGTCTACCGGGCAGCCCGTTGGATGGAGTTTAGTGGACGTTATGACTTTTCAGATCTGGCTCGAAGACTAGTCAAAAAATTAATGACCGTATGGACTCTGGACCTATTGATATTCTGAGCATACACACATTGCCTGGTCGCGCACTGCCCGGATAGCTATAAGGGCACACACACACAAAGCGTATGCTTCTCACCCTTTTTTAGAGCCTTCAGCAGTGATGACAGGCAATCAGCAAAGGACCCCTAACAGTTAGAAGCGAACACAAAAAGAAAGAAAACATTGTAAACCGCGAGGAAGCACACACGCACGCACGCACACACATAACAATTACATACATACACAGTACACAGCATAAAACAGTTCATGCCCAGTACAGTATGCAACACACAAGACAGAACAATAAATGACAGTGCTCTACACAGAGATGGTACGAGACGGACACCCCCAGGGTACAGTACGTCTGCGTGTTTCTGCGCACTTGACATGCTGCACTTGTTGTTGAACTGCACACACTAGCAGCACCTGATGAACTGCAACCTCGTCATAGCCCTTGTGGTCCAGGTAAGCCGCTCTAGGAGCTATTTGCTGACACCAATTTACACATTGCCGTTCGGGCCTGGTTTAAATCTGGCTTTGGAAAATTTATTTTTGATTGCTATCAGGTTCGGCCTCATTTCCTCTGTGCTGCGCTGATGAGTCCACAAAGGACGAAACAGTTCTGTCCGCAGATTGAGTATTTCGCTCCTGCTCTTGTAGCAGTTGAGCACTCTTGCATGGGGTAGTGCCTTTGCTGTTTGCGTTATGCAGAGCTCACTGACTTGTCAGTTTGAGCACTCTGGCAAGGTACGTTCGGGCCTGATTGGAAATTTTTTATTTCCATTGCTATCAGGTTCGGCCTCATTTCCTCTGTGCTGCGCTGATGAGTCCACAAAGGATGAACCAGTTCTGTCTGCAGATTGAGTACACTTAGTCTGTAGGAGCAATCTTGAACTTGCTCAGGGTCCATCTACTAGTACCACCACTAATCAACATTCATCCAGCAAGCTTGGCCTTGCGGTAATCCGTTCAAGAATCAACCGAAAGAACGCCGTTAGATCAGTAGACTGCGGTCCCTTCTGTTATGCAAAGTTTCCCGAGAAAAGAAAAGAATGACACCGGATTTGGAACCGACGGATTTGTCCTGCTTAGAACCCGATGTTTTAAGACCCATCGCCCGTCGCCCACTGATCAGTGAACAGTCACCCGGATTCCACAGACTTAATAACCAACGCCACATACCGTCTGTAACTGCTCCTGGTCAATGGTCTGGTTGAGTTGTCTGGCAATACATTGCAGTGACATGCGCGTGTCGTTCTGCACCAGCCCTGCACCAGCCAGCCACAAGACAACAGAACACAGCAGAGCCCAGGGTAAGACAATATACAGTGAACCTCCAGCCATACATCCCACTTTGAACGATCAATGCACATACTTATTATTCTTTGAATCTTTTCACTCTATCCAACATTTCGAATTCAATGGGCTTTGCCGCTTAAATACAAGGTCCGAGAGGAACAAGAATAAGGAGGATTGATAACAGCTGCTCAATAGGCGAGCGGTGCGCAAAAATCTCCAAAAGATTGATTCATTTCCTTGGATATAGCAGACTATGGAATATAATCACACTTCAGAAAGAAAGAAAAACTTCAGGCTCCTCAGAAGCAACCTTTTCGGAAAAAAATGTACAAGTACTTTCGATGCCTTCTCACCATGTGGAATTCAGGCAAAAAAAAACCCAAAGGAACAAGAACAATGAATTAAGTACAGCAGAGAGGTGATAGAATAGTGCAACGAAGAGAAGCCGTAAACAACAACAGTGAAATGTGTGACGCCATACCCATAGCAGGAATGACACAAAAAGGTGCAAGTGTGGAGAAAAATCTAACAAGTGTGCAACATGGTGCGACAACAATAGACCAGCAATGGATCTAACTAACGCGTTAATTATGACCTACCTAACAGCCTAAGTGTGAACTTTTAAAGTTGTTTCTGTTTGCATAGGTCAGGCGTGTGCATATAAACAGCTCGAAAACATGCAATAATTTAGCACTGCACAGGCGACAAAAGGGAAAGCAATCTTCTGAACACACAGCATGACATTCAGGATGCTAAAAAAAGAGATAAGCAATTATGACAATTATGAAGACTCATATTTATCAGAACTTAACATCAAGACAATCGGAATGTGCGGCGGACAGTTCCAATGTCACGTTGCCAGTAGCTGTCGACTCTGCCGATGCCGGAGGTGTCGCCAATGCCTCTGATCTTGTCTCCAGTCTGCTGTATTCCACTTGATGGCATTGGAAGTACTCGTGGAACATTTTCGAAATCGAGATCAAGCCTGCTTCCACAAGGATTCCTTGTTCGTATCAAAAAGATTGTTGTAGCTAAGTGACATTTATGACAATACAATGGATGCCAACTGACCGGCACATTAATATCTCGTTTAAAAACCTCAATATGGTGTGATCAATACTTGGCAGTACACGATTGTGCTCACCATTCAGTGTGATAACAGCATAGGCGCCGTTCAAGCTTGCTTCCAGCTCCAGGCGCTGTAGCACACGTCGTAATACCTTCAAAGTCCATTGTGCACAAGCATGCATTCCCGCGCACACGGATATCACAGGGTAACACACGCACACACACACACATGCAATCATGCCAGGTGTACTCGGGCCACTGTGTTCCCACCGACCAGTGTGGCAATGGGATTAGCTTGCTCTGTGCATGCTTCTCAACATGCACACAATGCAATGAGTGTGCCTACGTTTCGACATCAAGAGTGAAAAAGATATGCACACAGAGCCGTACATGCAGCACCCATGTGCTGCGATGTGCGTTCCTGTACACGCGTATTGTAAGTTTTCACATGCACAACCAGAGGCCAGACTTCACTTGCCACCCATGCGCCTCCGCATGTGCATGCGGTCATGTAGTCATGTATGTGCATGTACACTGGTATGTATAATTATTAATTAACTATGAACTACAGCACGACAGTACCCAGAAAAGGCATTCAGGAGCTATGTCATGACAAGCACATCTAAACATACTCACACAGCATGCACACACCCACGCACCTTTCAACAGAGGTAGGTAAGCAGCACGCACGCATACATAGGAAGGGCACATGCTCTACTTTAACCTCGTTGATAAAAGTGCATTCATACATTTCGTCGTGATGGTCTAGCATCACAGTACAGTGCATAGAGTGCAAGACTTACCAGTGACTTGCCACTGCCTCGTGGTCCACTTAACAGCACGCTTGTACTCTGTCCAAACACGATGCAGCGGTGCAGCAGCTCCAGTAACTCCCTGTGCAAAACATTACATGTGTGTATACAGTGGAACAACTCACTTAATACTCTAAGACATACACTTTTGCTTAGTACTAGGGTTGCAAGGAATAGTCGAATATTCAATTGCCTGCCTGGAAAACGCTTGTTTCACAAACGCCATGATAGTTCCACCACTCACTCCACTGATGAATAGAAAGCTGAAGCGTTCCAAAAAACGAGAGAGCTTGGAAGCTCAGGGCCCTACGCTATGCTTTTTTGCCTTGATGACCTAGGCAAAAAAAAGCATAGGGATGTTATAAATTTTTCATTTCTCCAATTTTTTTCCAAGACATAACCTGGGATTCGAACCCGCACTATCGCCCAGTATGCATGCATCTCCCTATACATCAGGGAGTTGTATACATAATACGACGAATATTGTGGCCAGCTGTTTGTGGCCAGCTGTGTTTGATGGTGCGGTAGGGTACGGGACAGATACGGGAGCCAGCAAATATTGTGGCCAGCTGTGTTTGATGGTACCGTACGGTACGGGAGAGATACGGGATAGCGCCAGGCGTGACACAAACAAACAAACAAATATTGTGGCCAGCTGTGTTTGATGGTACGGTACGGGAGCCAGCAAATATTGTGGCCAGCTGTTTGTGGCCAGCTGTGTTTGATGGTACCGTACGGTACGGAACAGATACGGGATAGCGCCAGGCGTGACACAAACAAACAAATAAATAAACGAGAGAGCTTGGAAGCTCAGGGCCCTACGCTATGCTTTTTTGCCTTGATGACCTAGGCAAAAAAAGCATAGTAAATTTTTCATTTCTCCTATTTAAAAAAAAAGACATAACCTGGGATTCGAACCCGCACTATCGCCCTGCATGCATCGTTAATCCGAAACGTATCGATTATTATCGATTAAGCACCACTGACGACAAAACTCACCATTTTGCATCATCTACAATCAATTTTGAAACTTCAAGGAGAACAAAAATAATGGAAACATCGACTGTCGCACAGGCACAAACTGATTCTGAAGGCTACTTGTCCAGAACAGTGAGTTCCATGAAGCAACCGGAACGAAAGTTCGCGGGTATGAATCAGTGCGCGGTGCAGAGAAAAGAGCCGCGTGTCACACAATAGATCTAGAGTACATCAGGTAGATCTACCGGGTACGTGTGTAGCGTGTATCCAGAGCATGAGCAACTCGCTCTGCGTGCTGCACGCGTTGATTGACACATCCGTGCATGCGCGCATCGACTCGTACTCTGGTACATGTGCTGCACGCATGCAGTAAAGTCATGTAGAGTCACACTGCACCTGCCGGATATTTCGTCGTACCGTATAGTATGTCGTACGAAAATGCTGTAGCGAATAGAAAAATCGTAATCGACTAGATTTTTTCGACTAATTAATCGACTAAACCACATAATCCTTTCAACCCTACCCGATATACTTCGCATACATACTAATTCTTCCAAGTTGCTTCACGTTATGATCTTGCATTCGAAAGCTCTATTTGAATATTGTGGCCAGTTGTTTGTTGTGGCCAGCCGTCTTTGATGGTACGGTTAGTGAAGGGGACTCAGTTGGTTTGCCCAGCATGTGCCCTAGCAAGTACAGCTTGCTAACACCAACGCCAATGCAGTTCGCTTGCGAATTTGGGACCCCTGAGACATCGACACCGTCACACGTACTAGTATGACTTGCTTGGACTTCCTAATGTGCGAACAGGTATTGCGATCAGCATAACGCTAACTCAATAATGAATTGACCAGCGTTTGGTCGATCCAACTACGTAAATTGGGAGTTCAAGCAGTTCAAAGCGACGAATCCTTGATTGATTGGCAAAGAGGCTCCTCATATTTTTACTTTTGCACATAATTCAGTCTTTCTGCTTCCTTGCTTATTTATAACCAGATACTTTCTTAGATTTCGGATTCGTAGTGATTTGATCACAGACAAGAAACACAAAAATTAAATAGAACACCACGATCATTCAATAAACTGTTGAACGGTACCTTTCGGAGGAGGACAGTTAGTTTCTTGTACTACGACCATTCCTGATTTTACAGTATTGACAAGAGTACATAACACCCTGAGTATGCAGCGCGGATGGGTTGGCGTCACGGCGGAATTCCGGGACTACTTATATCGTTTTAGTGACGTAGTGCGTAAAAGCAGGATTCAAGCGGATCTCTTTCTGCACAACCGCAGCTCAGTTGTACGCACTACACCACTTCCCATCGTTTATCTGCACCAACTATGATGCAATCCCGGAATTTTTGCCGTGACAGACACCAGAAAAGTCACAAGCGGCACACTCTGGATTTCATGTACTGTTGGTATTGATTTCATGTACATGTATTGTATATGCCTTGCTAGAAAGATTTAACATGTTTTCGAAGTCGACAGCATGTAACGGAGGACGCTTCGAAAACATGTACTGGTACATGATTGTATTGTTCGTTGACTCCGAAAGCCGTAATGTCAGATACACGCTAGGCTCTAGCACATGTATACTGTGCATGTTGTAGTAGATGACAACGGAAGTGTGGAGTGTAACATCGAACCCATCCACTATCAAGAGTCCCAACCAGGTGATGCACCAATTTTAAAATTTTGAATAAAAAAACAAACAACCAAAGTCCGACTTGAAAGCATTCGCCCTACCTATAATGTTCATCCAGGCCAGGCATACATTCGGGAAGTTCATCTCCAAACAGACGTGAGCGCAACAACTGCTGCGCCACCAGCCAAGACATACTTCACTACATCTGTCCACTTCAAAAATTACATGCAGGAACTACTTTTTTCATTCATAATCATGTCGACTTCTTGACTTGAAAAAAGACAAAACTCAAAAAGGGCTACAATTATTTTTTGTACAACCGCGCCAAAGCCGCGAGCATGCATACTGGCTGTGAGTTGATGACACTGTGAGCTGTCGGCTGTGAGTTGTCGCGCTGTGAGCTGTCTCGCGGTGACCTGTCGTGTTCCCCTACCATCGTGTGGTACGATCACATACGACTCGTAGACCTACGTAGACCTACGGCTACGAGTTGTACTATAATACTGTATGACTGTACTATTACTAGTGCCAATAGTGGGTAGTGTTGTGTGAGCTGAGCGCGAGCGTCGCTACGGTAGTACTTTTTCTAGCCATCTGCATGTGCATACCTAGCCTACAAATATGTAGGGTTAACCCGGGATGGGTCTACCCGGGATATCTTTATGGGAACAGTGACTCAGCGCAACGGGGCAGGCTATTGACAAGCACATACCGGTAGTCATTATAACAATAGGCGATACAATGACAATGTCATCCAAATTTTCCAAAAGTCAAAGCTGACACGAGATGTGTTGTGCACATGTGCTGACCTCAGGAGTCAGCTTGAGTCTTGACAAGTCAACGTTTCCTCCTACATGTATGTCCTGACTCAGTCTACTTGATCGTGTGCGCGCGATCGCGAGGTCGAGTGTGACTCCTATCTACGCGCGTACTATACTATAGTTCTTGTTGTTTATTCGCAGATTGAGTTGTTGTTTATTAATAATTTTATTTTACATCGCATGTCAAACGGGCAGTTCTGCCCCGGCAATGATTATGAAAGCGATGACAACCAGTAAGAAGAGTCAGAAATGAAGAGAAAAGGAAATGAAAATAAAAATACGAAAAATGGAAGTAGCAATGATATTATTATGACTATGAGTATGAGGGGGAGCAGCCCAGCCTGGCAGGGACAAGACGAGCAGAAAAATGGATCTCAACTGCAGGCGTAGGCTTTCGTAGCATGATTCTGTCGAGCCTCATCACATCAGCAGGTTACGAAAGCAATACTACGAGTACTAGTAGTACTACTAGTACTACTAATACGAGTACTAATAGTGCGTGCTGCTGGCACTGCACTGAGCACGACCTGCAGTACGACTCACGGACCGTCGGTTTTACTTCTACGTCAGGCGACATACACTGCACTGACACAGAATGTCTGCAACAGCATCAGAATTCTGCAGCCTGACGTGACATGACCACCGCTACTACTGTAGACGTGTGTAAATCTGTACTGGCACTGCACTAGCCGCTGGCACTGGTCCGCTCAGACCACACTAATAGTACTAATCTCTGCATGCTCTCTCATCTATCTCTCGCGCCGGAAGCTCGATCAAATCACCAAGATAGATAGGATAGGAAGCAGTTATTTTTTTCTATCGCCTGGTATTCAGCTGGTATCATTATTTTCAAAGTCACCGTTGCCAGACTTTTGCCGGTAAGTCCCAGAAAAATCGTCCACGGTCCAGCTCCATGCATGATCAGCCCATACTGGCCCTAGTTGCAGCTTGCCCTCGAGCTAGCTCCGGGTGTCCGTCTAAAACCCTAGTTCTGCACATCTTGGTTTGGGAGAATTATTTTGTTATTCACCGAGATTGATTGAATAGTGCTTTGGTACACGGTAGTCCAACAGCTGAGTGCGGTGACCGACGCAGGACACACCCGGACTGCGCTGGGGCGCTACAGCAGCAGGAGACGGTAGCGTTTGTTTGTGATAGACTTGGACTTGGAGTTGATGAGTCAATATAGGAAGATGAGTTCCGTTGGTGGTAGCTCGGTTACCGAGGTTATCATCGACTCGATCGACATAAATATGCTGGCGAATAAGCTTATCGGTCACCTGGTGCAAAAGAACAACGACAAGGAGAGAAAATTCGAGTCGCTGGACGGAATTTGCGTTGAGGAGGGCGAGGGGACCAGTCAGGATGCTACCGACGGCCCGTATGAAATCCAACGTGCTCCAGACACACCAGCTGTGATGTCACCAGTGGGCCCTGGGCAAGATCTAGTGGACCGTCCTGGTTACAGCATGGTTGGCAGTAGGAAGACGAAAGTTGCTGTGGTGACGCAGGCCATGCTGCAGATAGCTGACGAGCTGGACGAGAAGCAGGAGATCTGGCAGCTGTTCTCTACGCTGGAGATCACGAGGGAGACAGCGTACGACACGTTCTGCGACATCGCAATGGGAATATTCCAGCACGGCATCTCCTGGGGCAAGGTGGTGGTCCTGTTCATGTTCGCCGCACACTGTGTGATGAAGGCCGTGCTCGCCGAGCTGCCCAATATCTTCGTCATGATCGGATCCTTTGTGGCGCGGTTCATGGGAGAGAAGCTGAAGCAGTGGATTGAAGAGCATGGTGGATGGGTAAGCCTGGCGTCAACCTCACCGCTGTGTGTATGGTATATTGCATGGGAACGTAGGAAAGGTCCTGGGTGTGCAATTGGAATTATGGGCGCGCTCGCACTGCGACCAAAACACGCGTCCACACGGTCAAGCGGCCAAGTTGCATGGCAACGGCATGCACGTGACCTAAACGCTGCGGCTGCGTTTCAAACTGAGACCATTGCAGCCTCAAGAGGGGGTGCCACGGCTATGGACTTTAAGTCACATGAACGCGAAACATATTCTAAATATAACCGGGCCTGAATTCAAGGCGTGCGTGACCATCAGGCGGAATTTCTGATCTACTTGGGCACCCAGGCGAGGAAACAAACGGGCTCCCATGAAGAAGAACAAATCAGTCATCCATCAGTGTTGGAGGTTTGAGCTTTTGCCCTGGCCTTGCCTGAAAAATCTCACTTGATTTGAACTTGACATTTTGTCCGAACATCAAGAAACCTGAAAGCGCAACGCTTCTACTCGGCGTTTTTGGACGTAGTGTAAGCACGACCATCACATTTCTGCGTCATGCTGTCATGCTGCCTCTTGTCACAGTGTGAGCGCCCAGTCGGGTTGTTTTCAACCACTCCACGCCCCCCCCCCCTCTGGACCCGTTGCAGATAAAATGTCACTTTCTACTTTGTGTATTCTTTCCGATGTGGAACCAAACAGTCAGGACCACCGGAAGCAGTTTTTGATTAGTCCGGCCGTGCTCTCTGTCATACCGATAGTATTTGTGTAGGATATGGCGGGTACACATGACCTCCTCAGAAGTGTACACACGTTGGCGGCCAAAAGGTTGGTCCGGCGATGACCTGACCAAGCGGACCGATTCTAGCAACAAGCTACAATAGCAGTAGACATCTAGTGAGTGAGGAGTTCTACTCTCCGGGCCGCATATCCATTGATATCTACTCTCCGGGCCTCATATCCATTGATATCTACTCTCCGGGCCTCATATCCATTGATATCTACTCTCCGGGCCTCATATCCATTGATATCTACTCTCCGGGCCTCATATCCATTGATATCTACTCTCCGGGTCTCATATCCATTGATATCTACTCTCCGGGCCTCATATCCATTGATATCTACTCTCCGGGCCTCATATCCATTGATATCTACTCTCCGGGCCTCATATCCATTGATATCTACTCTCCGCATATCCATTGATATCTACTCTCCGGGCCTCATATCCATTGATATCTACTCTCCGGGTCTCATATCCATTGATATCTACTCTCCGGGCCTCATATCCATTGATATCTACTCTCCGGGCCTCATATCCATTGATATCTACTCTCCGCATATCCATTGATATCTACTCTCCGGGCCTCATATCCATTGATATCTACTCTCCGGGCCTCATATCCATTGATATCTACTCTCCGCATATCCATTGATATCTACTCTCCGGGTCTCATATCCATTGATATCTACTCTCCGGGCCTCATATCCATTGATTCTACTCTCCGGGCCTCATATCCATTGATATCTACTCTCCGGGCCTCATATCCATTGATATCTACTCTCCGGGCCTCATATCCATTGATATCTACTCTCCGGGCCTCATATCCATTGATATCTACTCTCCGGGCCTCATATCCATTGATATCTACTCTCCGGGCCTCATATCCATTGATTCTACTCTCCGGGCCTCATATCCATTGATATCTACTCTCCGGGCCTCATATCCATTGATATCTACTCTCCGGGTCTCATATCCATTGATATCTACTCTCCGGGCCTCATATCCATTGATATCTACTCTCCGGGTCTCATATCCATTGATATCTACTCTCCGGGCCTCATATCCATTGATATCTACTCTCCGGGCCTCATATCCATTGATATCTACTCTCCGGGCCTCATATCCATTGATATCTACTCTCCGGGTCTCATATCCATTGATATCTACTCTCCGGGTCTCATATCCATTGATATCTACTCTCCGGGTCTCATATCCATTGATATCTACTCTCCGGGCCTCATATCCATTGATATCTACTCTCCGGGCCTCATATCCATTGATATCTACTCTCCGGGTCTCATATCCATTGATATCTACTCTCCGGGCCTCATATCCATTGATATCTACTCTCCGGGCCTCATATCCATTGATATCTACTCTCCGGGTCTCATATCCATTGATATCTACTCTCCGGGCCTCATATCCATTGATATCTACTCTCCGGGCCTCATATCCATTGATATCTACTCTCCGGGTCTCATATCCATTGATATCTACTCTCCGGGTCTCATATCCATTGATATCTACTCTCCGGGCCTCATATCCATTGATATCTACTCTCCGGGTCTCATATCCATTGATATCTACTCTCCGGGCCTCATATCCATTGATATCTACTCTCCGGGCCTCATATCCATTGATATCTACTCTCCGGGTCTCATATCCATTGATATCTACTCTCCGGGTCTCATATCCATTGATATCTACTCTCCGGGTCTCATATCCATTGATATCTACTCTCCGGGCCTCATATCCATTGATATCTACTCTCCGGGCCTCATATCCATTGATATCTACTCTCCGGGCCTCACACCCATTGATATCTACTCTCCGGGCCTCACACCCATTGATATCTACTCTCCGGGCCTCATATCCATTGATATCTACTCTCCGGGCCTCACACCCATTGATATCTACTCTCCGGGCCTCACACCCATTGATATCTACTCTCCGGGCCTCACACCCATTGATATCTACTCTCCGGGCCTCATATCCATTGATATCTACTCTCCGGGCCTCATATCCATTGATATCTACTCTCCGGGCCTCATATCCATTGATATCTACTCTCCGGGCCTCATATCCATTGATATCTACTCTCCGGGCCTCATATCCATTGATATCTTGCCAGTACTGGTGTCACTAGGTGTACAGGTACAAATAGGTCAAAGAGTCCATTCGGGAAAAGTGTTTGAGTAGATAGGGGCCAGGTCCACTGCTCCCAATGGGTGATGGGTGCGGCGAGCAACCGGTCTGAAAGTTCTCATTGTTGAGTTGCAACATGGCAATCGCCGATACTTTGGCTGTTCATGCGTACCGGCCATTTTCCATGCCGCGTCTGCATATCCATACTCTGCTTGCCTGGGTCGCTACTGCATGTAGTATTCCCTTTGCGTGGATTGTCGCAGTATGGCCTAACTTTTCTGCTCCACTGCTCAGCAGCATATACACGTAAACATTACAAATGAGATTGCTGGATCATACAGATGTTTGTGTTGTCGTTGTCGCCATCGCCATTGTCATTGAAGCTTTACGTGTGAGTTCATGTGCACATGGGAGTATTGATTGTTCTTTACTATGTGTAACTGTTTGTGCTCTGCAGGAAAACTTGACCAATCCTGATTCAAATCCCTATCTCAAGTTCGGCGGCATCCTGGTTGCAGGCATCGTCGGTGGCATTGTCTGCAAAATGGTATGGGATCGGTTGTCATGATACTGTACTGGACCGTGACTCAACCGTGACTGCGCTCAGCGAATGCCGCATCTGATCACATTGCCAGAATAATATGTGAAGTCTTGCTCTCGCAGGGAAAGCCAAACATCTTCAGCTGTAAGCAGCCCATCTTGAGTATTCTAAATTGGGTTTGGTCAGTCCTTGGTAGAACTGTTTGCTTGAGTTCCATGGCTCTCTAGCTGATGCACTTTCTTGGTCAGTTTTGATTATCTGTAACACTTTCTGAGGTGGTGCCGTCCGGCATAGTATCACCGGCCTCCTGGCTCAGTGCTAGTTGAATGGCTCTCTCGGCACGTAACTCTCAGCATGTTACCAAGGTTACAGTGCCAATGATCACCAGGGAAACTGCGCACTTTGCGCGTGTTACTGTAGCGGGGCGGATTGGAGATGTTGTCATGGCGTCCGGGTTGTGGCCGCTCACTTTCTGCAATCTAGTCTCCGACGGTGCTGATTCAAACATGCTACTCTCCGTTTCACCCATGCATATTCTAGCTTGCTGCTTCCGTATGCTACGAAACCCTATGGATTAGGAGGTCAGCAGGACTTGAGTGATGATTGACGATTCTAAATACATGCAGAGCTGCCAGTGCATCTCTGGTCTACCAGCCAGTCTCTATTGATCTCTTTAGCTGTTTCTGCTGAGTCCAAGTGTCTCTCTTCTTGTCCTTCAGTTCATACCGTGACAGCATGTCTTGACAGATTGGCTTTGACCATCCGTTTGATTCTATTGCTAAACATCTAAATGATCATCGGACAGCAATAGAGATTAATATGACTTTGAAAGTTTTTGTTCTCAAACTAACAATAAGTCAAGTTGTCCCACCTTATCTACATGTGTGCTCTGCGTCGTGCTCAGGGAGGAGGAGGATGGGTATGTGTACCCCTAGTAGCACGTGGGTAGGAGAACAAAAACAGGATACGTGAAAATTACTTACTTCTAAGGGGCCGTCTGGGGAGAAATGAACAAATATCGTCTTGAAAAAAACATCGATATTTACGGACGGCCCCTTAGAAGTAAGTAATTTTCACGTATCCTGTTTTTGAAGCAATGAAGCTAAAGGAAGCCTTTATCGCCTTTGCAAGATCCATGTGAGAACAAAAGATTTTTGTTTTGATAACGTCGAGAAAAACACGCAGTAAACATAAAAGCAAAGATGAGCAACACATACATGTCCAATTATGCACTTGAAGTTTAGAAAAGGAGGCCGTTTTGCCAAACTGCGGCAGAATTCATGGAAGCAAAAAAAAACAGAAGAGAGAAAACCATGACAAGGTATGGCAAGCATTGCAAATTACAAAATCCAAAGAAAACAATGCAACATTCATAAACAAAAGATTTTCGTTTTGATAACGTCGAGAAAAACACACAGTAAACATAAAAGCAAAAATGAGCAACACACATACATGTACAAAAATGCACTTGCACTTGAAGTTAAGAAAAGCAAAAGGAGGCCGTTTTGCCAAACTGCGGCAGAACTCATGGAAGCAAAACAAAACAGAAGATAGAAAACCATGACAATGTATGGCAAGCATTGCAAATTACAAAATCCAAAGAAAACAAAGCAGCATTCAGAATAAAACATTTTAGGGGTGTGCCCAGCTTCCAAAATTCACATGAAAAGAGTCGGAAATTTGCAAAGTGCATACATGTTCCAAAATCAGCAAAGAACGAAACAATGCATCAGTTGCCATTTGAGAACTATGCATTGTTGAAAAGAACAATCCAAAGAAAAAGAGAGCATCCAAGTTCCAAGACGTACATGAAAAACGAAAAAAACAAAAAAATTAGAGCGTGCAAAATTCTTGTGAAAAGTGAAAGAACATGGGGAAATTAAAAAGGCAAAAGTGCATACATGTTCCAAAATTAGCAAAGAATGAAACAATGCATTGCCATTTGAAGATTATGCATTGTTGAAAAGAAGAATCCAAAGAGAACAAGAGCATCCAAGTTCCAAGACATACATGGACAACGAAAACAACATTGTCACAAATCATGTCCTTGTTACTACGTGACATGACTGCTCCAAAATTGGTAGACTAAACCACTCGGAGCAAATGCATCAAAAATCATGGAACAGTCTGGCAAGCGCAATAGAATGTAGGAAGAGAGCAAGAAGCGGCAAGGCTGCAGCATCGGACAAAGGAAAACACACGCGTCGCGGCAAGGAAAGCATGAACACAGTGAAGCTGGCCACGATTTTTTTTAAGCTATCACCTTGACACTACACTAGAGTAGAGTGCAACGGTGGGTCACAGGCTGATGCCGCAGAGGCTGGCTCAAAGGCGGCTGGCTCCACACTACAAATCAGATCGCTTGTAGCTAGAGGTGACATGTGGAGATGAAGACGTCTCCGGCTGAGCATGGATCTGTGCAGCACACATGAACACATGCATGCAGTACACAGCAAAGAGTCAGTACCATCTTGATGCAAATTGATAGTGTGTTCGAAACCCACTAGTTTCCATAATGTAACTAATGTTGACACTGGAAACACAAACGAAAACACATACAGACACACACAGACACAAAATACAAGCACAATCACACACACGCACACGAACACAGGCCCGTGCACCTGCACGTACACACACACAAACACGCATGCAGACATACACACACGTATACACACTTGTACTTGTACTTATACACACACAAACACACACACACACACACACACAAACACACACACACACGTATACACACACACACACACACACACACGTATACACACACACGCACACAAACACACACAACATGCGCCCACACTGACAGTCAGTTACTTACACGTGTAACTACAAGTACTTACACGGCTGCCGGAGCGCTTCTTAGCAGGCACAGTCGGCGCTGAGCCTCTATTGCTGTCCCGACGTGTGGGTGGTGCTGGCACATTGATATCATCCTCAGTCACCGGGCCATCGCCATAGTCAAGGAATGTGTAGCCATCCCTGTCCAGGGAGGTGCCGGGCATGGCCACGGCCTGCACTGACCTGGGGGTCTGGTGATCTCCAGATGCCTTTCTCAGGCCAAGTGATGGTGGCTGACCGGCTGCCATTGGCG